GTTCTGCATGTGAAGTATTGAACCTGATTCCATCAAGTATATGGTTGTAACAACATAGCAACTTGCCATTATTTAGAGGAATAATGAGAAAAATATATGGTTTTATAAAATATTTTAGTTCTTTATAATATTGTATCATAATTTGCCACGTTGTATTGTGAGTATTTTTTTGGTAAATGTATTTTGAATATATTTAATCATGTCCAATGTTTAATGATCAATATTGTATTTTAAATATTTTTTTGGTCTACTATTTACCATTTATAATCTGCAAAATAAGAACCTTTTAAAAAAAGTTTAAACACATACTTCTACATTTACTATATTTAAAAAAAATACATTAAGAAGTCGGTTTATGAAAAACTCACTTCCCAACATATGAAAAAAAAAAAAATATTAGAAAGCCTGTTCGAGAGAAACCAAATGATTTTTTTATATTATTGGAAATCAGTTTGTCATGAAGTGGTCTTTAATACAAATTGGTATTGGAATATTTTGGAAAATAACGATAAAGAGTTTTTTTTTTTCAAAAAAATAGTAATATGAAAAAGTCGTATCTTATAGTATTATAGTAAAGCAGTTTTTTTTTTTAAATAAAATTTATTGCAAAAGCAAGCACATTTAGTAATATATGTGGACTGAAAAATAAAATAAAATAAAGACATTGAATTCATTCATTGCCCTGTGATGATTAAAGTAAAGTAAAATGGTGTTTAATTCTTGCAAGACACAAGTACCTATTTATATACGTGTCAGAACTGATTTGGACAGGTGCTGTTTGCTTTTGATGACTGTCACTTCCCTTCTTTTATTTCTTCCCCCTTATAATTAAAGGATTTGATTTTCTCGTCTTATGTAAAAATTAAATTTTTATGTTGTGATTGAATTAGTGGTAGATCTCAGATTTATTAAAAAAAAAAAAATTACATGTAAATTAAAAAATCACAATATGAGAATTAAATTTTCATGCAATATGAAAAATTAGTTTTTCTAATTATAAATGTCAAAATACGATATAATATTAGTATAGGCATGCAACTTCTCGCAAGTTGGAGCTTTCTTATCCAGAAAAAAAGAAGTGGGATCATCTTAAATAAAAATAAAAAATAATCGACACGGATATTAAAATGACTGTGGTAGGAAAAGAAATTTTTTATGCGAAAAGTATTTTTTTTCTATTAGTATATCTGTATATGCATTAATTTTAGGGGAAATATTTTTTTATATTATTGAAGAAAGTATTTCTAGTGCTACAAATACATCTATTTACGTACTTTAATTTTAGTTTTATTTTTAATTTCTTAACAGAGGAATCTATAGAGAGAAAAATTTTCTCACCTTACATGAAAAACAAAACCCTTAATTTTAACAATAAACTATGTGAAATATTAGTCATTGTCGCTATAGAAAGCAATCTTATGCTGCATGTCCGTCGATCAACATGCGACTCTTTTTTTTTGAACAATAAACTATGTGAAATATTAGTCTTATGTCGCTACAGAAAGCAATCTCATGCTGCATGTCCGTCGATCAACATGCGACTCTTTTTTTTTGAAAAAAAAAAAAAAAAGCCCTACCACTGACACTAAGTCTATCTATGCGGCATAAAATTGCTTATAAAACTAATATTTCGCATAAACCTATAGCTTAGTACGCTAAATGTCTTCCTAGTTTAGAAAATCACATCTGCATTCATTATTTTTTATCTCAATTTCTTTTTCATTTGAGAATTATACATGTTTTTTTTTATGTATGAATCTACTCAATCTTTACCTATAAATACCAAAGCAAATAAAGAATGTATTTTCAAAAATAATAATAATGTAATAAGTATTATTGGAAATGCTATTTAATTATACCAAATGTAAATGTATATATACAATTATACATGTTAATGTATTTTTTTATAGGTGCTTTTTGAAAAAAAAGGTTTAAATATAGTTTGAAAAATTTTAAAACTGATTTGGAATTATTTAAGATAAATTAATTACACAAATTTATGTTTTTTTACAATTAGTTGTACCTTAATCTCAATTTGGTTAAAATTTGTTTGAAATAAGTTCTTATTTAATATATTTAAAAATTTCTTTAATTTAAAAACTTAGCATGTTTATTTATTATTGGATAAGTAAGTAATCTTCACAATTATTTTATTTAATGACCACTCTTAAATTTAATAAAGAAGAGAGAAAGAAAAATAAAATAAAAAGAAGATATAGGATAAAGGAGTCAAATTAAACAAGGGATAACTTTGTTTAATTTCACAATATTATGCTTATCTTTTTTTATACCTGCATTACATATTCCTCTTTAATATGGTTAGATTGCAATTTTAAATTACTTTCGCCCCTTTTATCTCCTCTTAAGATTAAGAGGAGTAGATAGAGTAGATCTGAATAAACATAGACATAATATTTTATCTCATTAAACAAAAGATAACTTTAAAACCACTTTAAAACTATCTTATATATGCGTAAGAGATAATTTTATCTCCTATAATATGAGAAATATCAAATTCATATATATATATATATATATATATATATATATATATATATATATATATATATATGTAAGGATATGTTCAATTTATACAGTGTAAGAATAATAAGTCTTACGTCAAATTTGAACTGTTAATTTTCGTGCATCTAACAATTTAGATTTATTGAGAATTAATAATTAATTAATGAGTTGGACTTAATAAATCTCAACCATTAAATACACGAAAAATTAACGATTAAGATTTGATGTAAGACTTACTGATGTAAGATGATACATTCTCGTGTGTGTGTGTGTGTGTGTGTGTGTGTGAGAAAAACATTTCTCCGGCAACTTGAGATAAGCTTATTTCCGGCCACCCCAAAATTACGTCATTTTATTTATTTATTTTCTTATATTAATTGATTCACCTTTGAATGGTTATGATTCTCTTTTTCTCTCTCTTTCTTTATTACCATTGATCTATCTTTGTACAGTTATAATTTCGTAGCCGGAGATAAAATTATCTCCGACAGCTTGAGAAATGATAAGCCCTATATATATATATATATATATATATATGTATATATATATATGGATTGTTTTTCTCATTTAACATGAGAGAAAAACAATCTCCTACACACACACATGGAAGAGAGAGGAGAGAGAATAAAAGAGAAATCGAAAATTTAAAGTGGGTCCCACATCCAATTTGTATATAATACATGAGATAATTATCTCATGTAAAATGAGATAATTATTTCCCATATATATATAAAGGAAATCAATGGTTAAGATTTGGTGTAAGATTTATTATTCTTACACCGGTGTAAGTTGATCCTATCCCATATATATATGGCAATGCTTTTCTCATGTTACATGAGATAGCATTGTCTATTGTCTTATGTAGAGATATAATTAGGCGGATCCCACAACTATCTTATGTAGAGATATAATTAGGTGGGTCCACAACTAAAAAAAAGAAAATAAACATTGACTCGAATTTCAATGGATGTGTAATATGAGAAAATATTTTTTCATATATATATGAGTTCACTTTTTCTGCCGTTACTGCAGATAAATTATCTACAGTAAGCCCAATACGACGTCGTTTTGGGACAGAAATAATGGTATTTCTATAATTTTAATTTATTTCAGGGTTATAATAGTATTTATATTTATAATTTTTTAAGATTTTAATACCAAAACAACATAGTTTTGAGAATAAATGCAGATAACTTATCTGCAGTCGCTGCAGAAACATTTTTTCCTATATATATATTGGGAAATCATTTTCTCATGTTGTTGGAGATTGCTTTCTCAAGTTGGTGCTATCTTTTTTTTATTTTTTTAACGAGTGGTGAGACCTATCACTTGTTATGTCTATAGTATAAGAGATGTTATCTATGTGAAATGAGAAAAGAGAAACTCATATATATATATATATATATATATAAGGTAGGATCCTTTGACACTAATGTCAAATTTGAAATTTGACACTTCATCTGCGAGCCCTTAGATTAAAAAAAATCAATAATTTGGAACATCCTATCCTCTATATATGAGTTCGCTTTTTCTACGGTCAATGTAGATAATTTATCTACAGTGAGCTCAAAACGACGTCGTTTTGAGGAGGAAATCAAAGTATTTTTGTAATTATAATTTATTTCAAGGTTATAATAGTCTTTTTCATTATTTTTTAATTTTTCAACCCAAAACGACGTCGTTTTGGGAGCGAATGTAGATAACTTATCTACATTCACTTTAGAAACATTAAAGCCTATATATATATATATATATATAAATATATATATATATATATATATATATATATATATATGGGAAAAATAAATCTTATGTTGTAGGAGAATTCTAATCTCATGTCATAGATACATTAAGTGTGAGACCCACCAATTTAAAAATAAAAAAATGAGTGGCACACTTTTTTATGGTGTGTGTAGGAAGGATTTGTTTTCTCATGCAACATAAGAAAAACAAACCCCGATATATATATATATATATATATATATATATATGGGAAAACATTTTCTTCTTTTAAAGGAGGAAATGTTTTTCATGTTAGTGACTCATAATATAAGTAGGGCACAAAATAGTGGAGAGAGAAAAAGTTTCAAGGTGGGACCCACTATGAGAAAAAATTTCTCCTTTAAAAGGAGAAAATGTTTTCCCGATATATATGAGTTTTATAATTCTCATTTAACACGAGAATTTGAATTTTTCTACACACCCTTAGATTTCTGTGTCAACGTGGGTCCTACACATAATTTTTTCTAACATTAGAGTCTCACATAATTTTTGTCTCTACAACATGAGAATTCAATACTTCTGAATGAGAAATATAAAACTCTTATATATATATATATATATATATATATATATATATATATATATATATATATATTTAAACTTTGTGTTCATTTTCATCTTTCACATTCGTCAGCTTCTTCTGTGTGCCACCTCCTCTTCTTTTTTTTGTAAGCATTTTTTCCTTGCTATTGTTCTCAAACGTATTGATTTTTTGTTGATGCAGTTCCCAGTTATGTTGAACTGCATGAGACTATCATTGACCATTATGGCTTTTTTTTCTTTTTTCTTTTGAAGTTTCTGCTGCAGTGGGATGTCAATTGAACATGTTTTATGATCTGGGGCGGTGGTTTTTGTTCTGTAAATTTTTTCTGCAATCATCAAATGTGTACTTGGTTCTAATTTTTTTTAGCATCGATCGCTGGAAATTTGGATTGTGGCGATGATACCCTTCGATTGAATTGTCTTTTTTTTTTTTTTTTTTTTTACAATTAGAGACTCTACATGCAAAGATTTATGGTTTGAATCATATTAAGCATTAGCTTATAGTTTTTTCTTTTAAATATTATAGTGTCATATGATTTTTATCGGAATTTAAGTCATGTAGTCAAAATAAACGGTAAAATTATCTAATATCTATATCTTTGTTGTCTGTTCCCCTTCTTTAGATTTTTGTTTTAATCTGTAAAGCAGCATTCTTGACAACTTTGAAATCCCATTTGTGTTTTAGGTTTAGAAGGGCTAATGTCAAATCTGTTTGTGTTTTGAATTTAGCGCTGACAGCTGAATTTTGTTTTGTATTCCATTGACTTCTTTATTTATATCTGAAATTATTTTGAAGCCCTATATGTATTTTTTCTTTTTTTGGTGTAAAGTATAGCTATCAGACTCTTTCAAACCATGGCTCTCTCTGATGGTCATAAAAATAGAGGAGAGTTGAGGATTCATGAGAGTTTGGATGAGCTAAAGACTGACTTGGCAGACTATGTTGCCGAATTATCAGAGGCATCTGTGAAGGAGCGGGGAGTCTTTGCCCTTGCTTTATCTGGTGGTTCTCTCATTGGCTTAATGGGGTATTTGTATCCTATCTTTTCCATACAATGTTTATTTGCTTTTATGATTTGGTGTTGGGTTTAAAACTTATAATTGTGAACAGAAAACTCTGCGAAGCTCCTTATAACAAGACAGTGGACTGGTCCAAGTGGTATATCTTCTGGGCTGATGAGCGTGTTGTGGCAAAAAACCATGCTGATAGCAATTATAAGCTTGCTAAGGATGGCCTTTTGTCAAAGGTTATCCCCTCAATTCAAACATTTCATATTTCTCATGGCTTTACATGAAAGAATGGTTTATTCTCAGAATAATTTAAAGGAGAGTGATGTACTTATGGTTTTTGAGTATTAAGCTGTTCTTTACTAACTTATACCTTCTTTACTGATTTTTTCTTAAAAGGGAAAACCACACAAAATGGAACACAATAATATCATCTTTTAACAAAATGGATGATTTTGGTTTCTTTCGTTTTTGGCTTCTTGTTAGTTGACTTAGAAAATTTAATAGCTCTTTTAATTTTGAGCATTTATTAAATAACCTTTTCAAAATTTTCTCAGTTACATGAAACATTAAATATTTTTCTAAGGTGTCTAATTTTGAATTTCCATTTACTTATACAGCCAATATTGAATACTTTCTTCGAGGTGCTTGACAAAATTGATATTTTGGATCTTGTTTGGATTATTTACTTTTTTGAGATTTAACATTTATTCTGATGTGGAAATTGAACTACAGCAAGTTGATATTTAGTTCATCCCTTCTAGTTCACAGGATTAGGAGACATGCATAGTAGTTTATTACTAATTTCTTGCTCTTCCTGAAGAGGACAATACCTTATTTATATGCAGCGAAAAGTTTCGTACTCTAGTTTAATGAACTTAAATAGATTCAAGAGATTAATGATGCACCTAGAGTTGGCCTAGAATCATGCGTGCGGGCATCGTGTGTGCATGCATCATTTGTGGTAGGATTGAAAATAAAAACTCTGTTCTCAAAATAATAGAAGATTCAATCACCCTCCATAGGAGTCTTACTGAAATTAAAACGAAAAACAAAAAATTATAAAAATGTCACTGGAATTAATAAAAAGGCCTAAAGACCAAAAAACAACATGCACATATTAATATATCACTTGAAAATAATAACTGAAAATTAAAAATTAAAAATTGGCTGGATTATTGGATTGAAGTTGACTACATCTTGAATTCATCATTTGAGTTTGAGGTTGCAAGCACGTCAGCTTGATAGTTACGTGTCTTGCTGTCAATGGGAAACATTGAAGCCTTGATGCTTTGGCAAGTTGACGACATGTAGTCGTAAAACACTAGCTTTTGCAAGTCCAGATGGCAAAGAGGTAGATCAATTAGCCATACTGGCCTTTATTAGCCCTGAAAAAACAAGTGCATTAGCTGCTTTTTGTAAAATGCAATTTAATTAAAATAAGATTTAGTTTAACCGAGCTCCAGTCTTGAGAGTAAGGTCTCTGATTTCAAATTCACTGGCCTAATTCCAACTTGATTTTATATGCTGGATGCAACTTAGTTTTATATTTTTGGGACAGTTTTTAGTTTGTTTGTTTTTTTTTAAATTCTGACAAGTCTCAGGATTATTATGAGAAAACCAATCTCCGGAGATGTTGTATACATGGTGGATTTCTTCTTGGAATATGCTGTAGGAAACTAAGTCCAACTTGGTTTTATATGCTGTAACAGAATATTTCTGCTTAAAAAATAAAAAATCTTGAGATATCGTTTTGATAATCTGATTTTTTGAATTGCAATTTTCCTTTTTAATCCTTTGCATTCTTGGATATCCTCTGATTCATAATTGAGTTATCAATTGCTTACCTACTCTTCACTTCTCCTTAATTTTTTGAATTGCTCTAATTTTAATGGAAGACATTCAAGGAATTCAAACACACCAATACCTCTTGGGGTCTCTTCTGGAAAATCATAGGCTGAAGCATGAAAAATATGTTTATGGTTGTCCTACTGGTGTTGGTTGACTGAAAAACTAGGGTCATATGTGATAGCTGTAAGATCTGTCTTTGTGTCTTTGTGGCCGTACTGTCATAGTTGATACATTAACATGCATCTCTTCATAAATGTAATGGCTATCATTTCCTGGTTTAATTTCACCCTTTTCTTCTGTGTTTTCTTTGATTCTTTAGCTTTAATCTTGGCTCTAGTTTTTTTTTTTTTTCCAAGGTGCTTTTGTTTATCACCTTCAGGGTCGTATGAGGCCAATAATAGTGTACCTAGGATGTTCTAGGACAGGCTGAGGATCACTGACCTCTTTTAACAATAAATAGGTGGATGGCTGTAACTAGGACCAAACTTTAGTATTTCACCTATTGCTTTTCACTTCTCATGTTTGAGCTTTTTTAACTTCTTAATGTTAATTTAAGGTCCAAAATAGCTTTGATCTGGATTTTCTGCCACAAATGGAAAGTTCTGTGTTCCCAACCTCCAATTTTTGTGATTTCAACTGCTGTGCAATTTGATTCACTCAACTCTGCAAAGCTAAAGTCTTTCCCCTCCTGACAGCTGCGTCCTGTGTCAGATCAAGTCCCCCTTCTGATTCACTTTCAGTTTGTTTTGAAATTTCTTCATTGGTACCCCTGGAAAATGGGAGCCAGTGAGCATGATAATTTGTTTCCAGATATGGCAAATCCAGATTTAGCAGCAAAGAGTTTTTTATCACTAGTAGGTGCTGCAAATGAAGCTCCGGATATCTTGTGAAGCTCGAGAGATGATGCTGAATCAATGTCTACTCTCATTTTCTTATCCAGTCAGTTTGTACATATGAAGCAAATGTGCTAAAGTTGGGTGGCATAAATTGTCTCTCTTTCATAAAACTTGCTGATGCCAAATATGCGTAGGAAATCAATTATACCCCATGAATACAATGTCAAATAGAAACCATAATTGTGAAGCTTTTGGATTTTCATTGAGTCTTCAGCAGACAATATTAATAGCATAAATGTGTAATTTCTGCAACAAGAGCTTCTGGCAGCAACTGCGCTTTCACTGATATTTGGTAGTATTGGGAGATGTAGAAGCATTAACTTCCCAAAAGTCTAAATCATCACATGATTTTGTAACATTTGGACTAGAGAGACAGCATAAATCACCTAATAATGTTTGGGCTGACACAACATAGAAAAATTTCATTCGGATTGACCCGTTTTGAAATTGTATAAATTCGTCTTAGCAAAAACTAACGAAAAAATTTGTGTCATGTCGCATGTCAATCCGCAAACATGAAAGTGACCCACATCATTTTTTTACGTTATGTGTGTGGTGTCGTGTCGTGTCAACCAGCACAATAAATGACATACTTTGAGGTTGACGGGTTATTCGTGTCGTAACTCAACCCACAAAATAAGTGGGTTGTGTTCATGTTAAAAGTTTTGACCCATTCATGTCGTGTCAACCGGGATTTTCAGCCCTAACTTCGATAAGTTAGTCTCCAAGGTATGATGGGACCCAAGAGTTCTTCTTTGAGGGTCTTTTACTTTTCATGTTCTGGGTTATCAACAATCCAGAAGGGACCATTTAGAAATCCTAAATTGCATTTTTTGTTCTTCTATAAAATACATGAGATGTTTGTGGATAAATTCCTTACCAATGGAAAAGAAGATGATTCAGGTTTTGCTTGCTTTCTATTTAAATGTTGCCTTCAACAAATGCAACATGGGAGTCTTTGATATAAATATCTTCCTTTGATGTGTAAAAATTACTCTTTTTGTCTGTCTCTCCATGTCTGTCTTTTAATATTTCATGAGATTGTATCTCGTTTAGTTCTATCATTTCTTAAAATTTATTTATATTCCTCTGATAACATGCTTGTTATATTAGCAGGTGCCTATTGTCCCCAGTCATGTGCATTCTATTAATGATTCAGTGTCAGCAGAAGAAGCTGCTGATGATTACGAGTTTGTCATCCGACAGTTAGTGAAAACCCGTGTGGTCAGTGTGTCTGAGATTTGTGACAGCCCCAAGTTTGATCTCGTTCTGCTTGGATTGGGTCCAGATGGCCATGTTGCATCTTTATTTCCTAATCACTCAGCACTCAATGAAAGGGAAGAATGGGTAACTTTCATTACTGACTCCCCAAAACCTCCACCTGAGAGAATCACATTCACCTTGCCTGTTATCAATTCTGCTTCCAATGTAGCAGTGGTTGTCACAGGTGACAGCAAAGCAGAAGCTGTACACTTGGCAATAGATGATGTTGAACCTGAGTGTCCATTTATACCAGCAAGAATGGTCCAACCAGCTATGGGGAAGTTGGTGTGGTTTTTGGATAAGCTGGCTGCCTCAAAACTTGAAGATTCCAATTTGAACAATTAGGATGAAGCCCCTTGCAGAGGTGTAAGTTTGTATGTAGTGTTATGGGATTCCACAAGTGTTGATGATCCTTAGATCCTGCCTATTTCTTTTCTCTTGGATAGAAAGTCTTCACTTTTTGCCTTTTCTTGCTCTCTCTTGGGAGGTTGGTTGGAGAAGTGTCAAGTGTGGTATAGTTTTTATAAGCGGCCAATAAAAGTTGTGGAGAGCATATCATCATTCCAAGTGTCTTCTTAATTCCTCACTGGGTTATTGGTTATAATGATGGTCTCGCTTGTTTGCAATTTAGATAGGAAAATCAGGTTCATGTAATTGTAAGAGTTCACTTTCCCTCACCCTCCCAGTTTCTTGTTAATCTATTTTGTTTGAATCCTAATACATAGTCATCTACCTCATGATGAAAATTTTAAATGTATTTTGGTTTTATGGCTATATTTGAGGATTCCTCTGCCCTTTGGGAGAGGATATCATGTGGCATCAAGTATTTTTTGTTGTTGTTCTGGTCGTGTTTGTGACCATTGATGGATGCAACATGCACCATAAAGGATTCACATATCATTTGCTTAATCCAGGATTCACATTTCGTTCACTCAATTATTTTTTAGTATTTGTAGGGATGAAGGAAGAGACAACTGAAAAGATTATCATCTACCAACTTCATATTATTAAAGTACAAATAACCTTTTGGGGCATATAGTTTTACATATATTCATATTTACATTTAATTTTAATGAATGTAATATAGAAAGAATCACATTATTAAGGAATTTTCAATAGAATTATACTTATGTTTTTTTTTTTCAGAAAAACTTTTTTGTTTTTTATCCTGATGGATTAATTTAGAAGTTAATGAAATTCTACCGAAGAAAGTCTTAATTTTCTCTACGTGTTATCTACTTCTTGAAGGAAAAATAGAATTTCAAAAAATGGGTCTACACACGATTTCATTTCTTTATCATTCCTTCGTTTTCATTTATTAAAAGGAGCTGATAAGGAAATAAATAATTAAGAACACTAAGGAGATTTATTAAGACTAAAGAAAAATCTAACAAATAACTCGAGAAGCAGTAATATATTTTTCGACATTTTTTACACTTAATTATTGAGTAAAATATCATACTAGCCTCATTATTGAGCTTAAGTTATTTAATTAAGTCGGCATAAAATTTTATTCAATAATTAAAAATATTAAAATAACATCGAAAAGTATGCAGTTCATGTGTTGCTAATATTTTTGCATCTGTATGGGATCAGGATCAGCAAATATCTGAGCACTGGAACAGAGTTGAAAGTAATGTTTGTTTTTCCATTTTGTATCAAATTGATTTATATTTTATTAGCAACAGATTCCACTAGTGTTAGTCCCTTGGAACTTCCACAAACAGATGAGTACCCACAAGGTATGGCCATTTCTGAGGAAACTAAATGAGGTTAAGAAGAGAATGAGGCTAAAAATATAAATGAGAAATTCGAGGTCCAATATTAAAAATTAAGAGATTTGGTTGCACTATTATCACACTAAAATAAATGTATGATATGAATCTTGAGAGAACTCTCACCTAAAAAAAGCCAAAATTAAAGAAGAACCAAAAGCTATATCCACCCACATCCAGTTCTGAATATGACAATATCACAAGTCACAACATTTAAAGCATACTCCTGTTGAGGATGTATAATGGTATAATCTCCCACCTCAAGGAATGGAACCCTTGCTTTCATGTTATTATACATCAAGATCTCTACCAACTCGAAAACTTTGCTGAGTAAAACCACTAAACAATTCCACAAGCAAGCTAAAGATAATGTACAAAGCGCTTCCAAGTTCATCTACTATGTATTTAATCTAAACATTTTGTCTCCGACATTTATTCCAATACTATAAATTAAGACATCCGTTATAATACCATTGAAATTTCTAAAAAAAAAATGTAACAATTAATCCCATCGACCATTCACTTCCTAAGTGAAAGGAGATAAATTGCACATTTGGATTGATTGCAAGTGTAAATTATAGCAGTTGAAAATTTTGAAGGATAAAATGGGTATAAGATAAAGTCCTTTTTTATTTTAAATTTATGCCATATTTCATGTAATGTGGATAATTAACCTTTAGACCGTATCCCAATTAGGGACTCCCTATCAAGTGTTGGTAAAAGTCTTCCTGTTGGCTTCTGTTTACATGATTGTCTTCAGAGCCTGATTAACAGTCAATAGGTTCCAGTGTTTGTACTTTCATGTTGTGATATGATTATACCCTTTTAACCTATCATGTCAAAAAGACACAGATAAAATACATCACTTTGGCAAAGAAATGTAAAATGGAATCTTAATCTTTGATTATAATGCCATTAGTACAACCAAAAAATGGGAAATACAAAAACCTAAGTTAATATAACCTCTAGCAATGGAAAACACAGAAAGAAAGAAACAAATAAATAAAACACCTCAGTTTTTTATACAAGGGACGCAAGCTTCATTTTGAGAAACATAAGGTACAAAACTGATACTACTCAGTGTATCACCTGGATCAACTTTCAACAGGCGCTATCGTGCGGTATTCTGTTTCTGTAATTGACCTTATACCATTTATATCAGGGGTTACTTCCTCCATATCTTCTTCACGTGGAGGGAAGCCACGTACTCGACCGAGGATCCATTGATCTATAACCCCACAATCAATTGCATACTTGATGGTATGCTCCAGGTATCCTTTATCAGTTATCAAATCAGGTTGAACTGTCAACATTCGCAAGAGAGCTGAAAAGATAAAAAGAGAACACATAAGTGGGGCTTTAGTTCCAGGATGATGTTTCTTTCATCTTAAAAGGCCAGTTTAACTCCATGTGAATTAATGCTACAAAATTTCTATTTACAAATCTTTATGCACCCAAGATACAGAGTAGTACAAGCTCTGAGTGCTGCCACCATTTAGCACATGCTTGTTACAGCATTCATTAAGCCAACTCAAACGAGATTTTGCCTCTCAAATTCAAAGTCAGTGCAAAAGAAACTGAGTTTATTTCTTATATATGAGAAGTGGCTCAATGCCAACCCCAATAGGCAAATAGTTACCTATTATAGTACTGCTTTAATACATGAGTCAATTACTTGAAACCAAAGTCCTTTTGGTGGATTTTCAGAACAATAAGATAGCAGAGTGGGTCTAAAGTTTATGAAATTACAAAATAAATTCCCAGGCCTCTGCTGCATTGCTTCAAAAGCCATCACATTTCAAATTATTCTTCTCATGATAGTATCAGCAAGATTTGAAAGAGGTTTCCTATTGATTTGATTTTTCAAATGGATTGGTGCTTCCTATAGGGGGGAAAATTACAGGGCTATGATTTAAATGTGCATTCACTGTAATGTACCTGCAATGATGCCATCTCCAGATGCTGACATATCACAAGTGAAAGGGGTAATCGGGGGATCCTCCATCCCACTAACAGCACCGTCAAGCTCCTTAGTGTAGTAATGTATCTTGGAAGTTCCATTAGTCACAAACAAAACCTTAAGATTATCGTGCCATAGTGGTGCAACCACTTCGGGTTCATAGTGGACAAACTTTGACCTAGCATTATTTTTGGTGTCAAATTCTTCAGTTGGTGTGATCCCACATAAGAACTCTAATTCTTGCTTAGTGACCTCAATAATGTCTGCAAGATTCCACACTTGCTGAATGAACATCTTAGTTTCTTCCCTAGAGTGCCACAATGGCATAGGAAGGTTTAGATCAAAGAAAACAACTGCTCCAAAATACTTTGCAATCTTGATGGCTTGCAATGTAGTGGATCTCATGTTACGATCAAGCAGTGAATGTGTGTTGAAGTAGAACATTTTTGCCTGCATGAGATATTCTTAAGATACTCAATGGCATTTGGTAGCAATCTAACCTCTAAAGCATCTGAAAGCAAATAAGTAAGTACAAGCATAAATTATACAGAAGACCTAACATACTCCTAGGCAAGCAACCATGCACGAATGAAATCTAGTAGTAAATTGTTCCATGTTTTTACTTTTTACTCAAGTGCACACATGGCCGTAACTAATACGGCAATCAACAATGCACCATTTCAACAAAAAACATAGTTGTAAAATATAGAACAATAAAAATACAAGCAAGATGATGAAATAGTTTATTGGTTAGATCTTCCAATTTTGCTACACAAAATATTGGTTCCATCAAATGAAGAAAAGCACATATTAATTCAAGTTAAAAAATGTTGCTATATCAACAATGATCAGGCCAGAACCTAAAAGCTACAGAGAGTTCTATTTACTTCTTTCAAACCTTTTTCTTCAATGGGTTTCTAGTTTCATACCTCTTTCAGCACATCAATATTTATCTCTGACTTCGTCAAACAATCTTCAGCACAGGGTTTTACAACACTCATTTTAAGTCGACTCCTTTTACCAATCTTCATCAGTGATACAACCGTTGCCCTTTTACTATCTATACGGACTGATCGGGTTTGAACACTATTCTCATTCATATAGTACAGCATTGCTTGACCATAATCATCATCTGCGAGTTTTCCCATGAAAGCAACCTTGCCACCCAAGCTTGCAAGAGCAATGGCAACACTACCAGCCGAGGAGGTCCCAGGAGCCCTAACAAATTTTTCAGGGCTCCACAGGACATCCTTCATACTATCGTGGATTTCATAATCTATAAGCCTATTGGCAGGCCTCCCGGAAGGCACAAAAGCATGCAGCGCGGCTCCAAAGCAACAAACAAGGGGAGGCCAACCATAAGAAAAGCTAATGTCCTCTCCATCATCTTTTACCAGTTCCAACCCAACATCACTCTCATCCTCCACAGTTTCAATAAATGAAGGCTCATCTTGGTCACTGATTTCAGCTTCATTACCTTTATCCTCAATAATTACATTCTCCTCTTTAGGTCTCCTTCCTCTTCTAACCTTTTTCTCTACCTTGAGTTCCTTCTCTTCATCCAAGCCAGCAGAACTAGATGTATCTATAAATTATATCATTGTTTAGCTAGCACTTATCAGCAAAACATATATATCAACGATAATATTCCCAGCATTGAGATTCGAGGACAAAGATCAAGAGATTACCTTTTTTTCGAGTCCTTCGAGTTTTCTTCTTGGAATCATCATTAGAGACAGGTGATCTTTCTTCAATGGAAGCATCATCATCTTTATCTACTAACAAATCAGTGTTCCCTTCAGGAGACCTAGTTGTCTTCTTTTCTACCACAGATTCATTTTCACTAGACTCTTTTACAATAGAGCCTAGAGAAACTTTCTTCCTAGCCATTACCAAATGACCCCATTTACACCCAGACCTGAGTTCCCCAAGTTGCACTATGTTAAAAGAAGCATAACAATGGGACCAAGTCAAGTGGTACCTGCACAATTGAAGAGGCAAGATTTACACACTCAGTCATATTCAACCACCACAAGAATTATAAGCTAAGATTCAGCTAAACTTGAGCCTCTGAAGCCCACCAAACAATTAGTTTCAAAACTTTCCCTGAAACCCATTACATGACTAACCCCCCACTCCCACCCCCACTAGATGTGTGCATGGAGCGGTTCGGTTCGGTTATTGTCAAAAACCGAACCAAACCAGTTTTAAACGGTTTGAATTTTAAACCGAACCACTTTTATTTTAAAAAACGGTTTTTAATTTGTCCAAACCAGTTTAAAACCGGTTTTATAACAAAAAAAATTTTGAATGAATAGGATGCAGATCAATGAATTCATAACGTAATTAAATGAATTCAAGAAATTGAAACCGGTTTTATAACAGTTTTAATTAAAACCGGTTTTAGTGACTTTCCCATAAACTGGATCACATGTAATTCCATAGAACTCACATGGAGAGTCTAATTCATTCCACATACCCAAAGAATTCAAGGGGTCCTTTAAATGGTTCTTGAACAGAAGAGCGGCTTGGCTTTCCAAGGCTAGAGACACACATGGCAGGAATACAAATAAGCCAAACATTAATAAATAGTGCTAAGGAAAAGCAACAAGGTTTAAATGGTTCTTGAACAGAATGAGGACTGTATCTAAGGATTTTGTTGTCTGCCACAACGCACAACGAGCTATACTCAGTTGTACAATACACCAATTGCAAAATGATGCATGGCTGCACTTGACTAACATTTTCCAACCTGGAGCCACTAAACTAGAAGAAAACTTGGCAGTGTTTAACTTACAAATAAATCAAAATATTTAAACTCAATTTAGAGTCTCATCATAACAGAACCACAAATAAGAGGTCACTTCAACCAGTATATATAAACATCCAAAGTCCAAACAAAGTTCAGCAGTTTATGGCAAAAGAAACACACTTTAAACGCAAATGCAAGGTATTATAATCATTAACAGAAATCAGGTGGGGGGAAGGTAACTGAGTAGATGAAAATGACTTCATATGCCAAAAAAATAAAGTAGAAGACCACTAGGCACCAAAGATAAATAGTCCAAAATATTACAATGAACTGTTATGAAGACATAGTAAAAAGAAAGAAAGAAATATGGAAATATGATCAATTGCTTGAAAAAAGGTAGAGCTTTGTTCACAAAACGCTCGTGAGCAAGCCCAGAAACAAGATAATGTACTATGAAAACATGTTCAAAAATATGGAAATGCCATCAATTAGAAATGAAAATTGTAGTAATGTTAATTTGTTTTAAGTGATATGTAGTTGAGTTAGCTTCAAGCTTCAACATCATACTGTCATTTCAGCAAGCAGTATCTGAATGTGAGGCTCAATTGTGGAACACAAAAATAGCGCATGCTGAAAATGGTTTATCACAGAAGTGAAAATGTTGTGCTATCACATTAACGAAAGAAGCCAAACAAAGAAAACTGAAATTGAGGGGGCATTTCCATTTAGATTTAGATAAAACATACAAATACTAAGCTAAAAATAAACACAACTACAAGATTGTCACTTATCTGGTTATTCTGAATTCCAAATTAATGGTGAAGTTGAAAACAATAATAACCATGTAAATCTAACGGTTCTTCAATTAAAAGCATTATCATCAAATGTGTAAAGAGTACAAAATAAATAATAATAATAAAAAAATCAACTTTTAATTGCTTTCAGGATTTTCATTCCTCCATTCCCCTTTTAATCATAGAACTATGAACATAGTAGGGATGAACCCATCACAGAAATTCAACCAAAATATGAAGAAAAAAAAAACCATCTTTTTTTTCTACATGAAACTAGCTAAACCCAGTAAGACCTTCCCCTTTTCTTTCAATCATAGAACAATGATCATCGCAGAGACCAACAAAACCTAATCAGAAATTCCACCAAAACACAAAAAAGCTATATTTTTCACATAAAACTAGTAACCGCATGTACAAACTTCCACTTCACTTTCGATCATAGAACAACGAGCATAGCAAAGATGAAGCAACATAACTTGAAATCTCACCAGAACGCAAAAAACCTATCATTTTTCACAAGAAACAATTTCAATAGACAATGTTCTTGTACTTCTTCTATGATGTTACAGAGGGAAAACCAAGTGAAAAATAGAGTTTGATAGTCAAACATGGTAAGTGCATACCCAGCCATAGGAGAATGGTAGATGATGATGCAAAATTAGGGTTCTCACTCTACATGCGTGAGAAGAGAAGAGGGTTGAGTGGAGAAATTGAAATATTGAATTTAGGGTTCAAAATTAGTTAATTCACGATATGCTCATGACGACGTCGCTTGGGGTAAATACGATCGGTGTAAAACCAAAACAAATGGATATCCACTTCTTCTTTTTTTTGATCGGTAATGAAATGGATCTGAAAAATAAAAAGTGGTTTGATATAAAATCGATTTTTAAAAAATCCGGTTTTTTAAATATGATCAAGTTTGGTTATGGATCGGTTTGGATCTTTTAGATATTTTGAACACCCCTAACCTCTGCCACCTAACCTCTGCCACCAAAAAAAGAGAAAAAAAATCGAAGAAAAAAAATTGAAAATTTTATTTTTTTTGCAGATTAAAAACATAGGTATCAATGGGTTTTATTTCATTTAATATACAAAACTTGGGAAGTGAGAGAAATTGGGGAAAAGAAAGACACGCCATTGGAAAAAGTGCAAGTTAAAAACACTGAGTAGTTTTTCCTCCTTCAGACATGACACACTAGCTAAGGTTCTGCACAGAACAAGATTATGGCTAAAGAGAGAGAAATGATTTAAGAACAAAAACCCAAAACGACAAGGGTTTTTAAAAGGGCAGAGTGGTCAAAACGTCATGATGTTTTAGCAAAGTTTTGGCCTTTCCTTTATTCACGACAACATGCCCTTATTAAACCTACTGAGAGTGTCATTTTTGGGATTGTTTTTTCTTCGTGCGTGGGTTTGTGTCTGAGAGTGGTCTTCTAGTCTCCCTATGTGCCTGATTATTTTTTGAATAATTTTTTCTCCTCTTCCAACCACATTCAGAGAGAGTAAGAGTCACAAAAAAAACATGAAATTGGTAACTTAAGGTAAGCAGGATTATCACTTTGTGCTTCTTGTTATGCCAGGTGTTCGATATTATGCCTCAAAAGACTTTTGGATTGTTAACATCTTAGTAGGAATAAGCTAAGTTCTGTAGATACAAGGTATGTTTTGATGATAACAAAGTGGCAACAACAAAAAGAGAAGAGCTTTAATCAAGAGCAAAAAGCATCAACCATATGTGGATATTGAAGATGTATGATGTAGCCACACAAGAAGAGTGATGTCATATCAAAGTGGCAAGATCATTGGATTAAGAGCAACAAGGAACAATTAGAAGAGCAACACCAAGATCAAAGACAACTAATCATGAACAACATCTAAGAGAAGCTCAATATCATAACCATGGTGAAAAATGATCAAAACCAACAAAATGTCAAGCATTGTCATATTCAACAAGTCAAAGCATCAATTTCAAGTAAAGATCCAAGACACAAAGACATAAAGCTAAGTTTAAAATCATATTTGGAATATATCTTTAGGACTTAGAATATATGTGAGGGTATATGGTAGATTGCATTGCATGAGCTCAAAGTTTTTCTCAAAGTAAACATGTTTTTCAAATTGCATAATCATAATCTTTATATACTTGAAAGAAATTTGAAAAATCCAAGGAAAAGATCCTTGACATATTTTATAACTTCAAAACATATTTATCAAGTCAAGATCTTTCACAAAAACTGGTTGGAAGCAAGCTAGAACACATTTGAACCAAAAATATGTTGCTTAATTTTGCTGCTGCCTTCTATACAACTTTTCGTATCTAAGATGATGAATTTGGATCTTGTGTTCTTCATAAAAATTGTATATATTTCTTTTATCTTTCCAACGAGACCAAAATCACATCAATCCGACAAGTATAACTCAAGTTATGCCCAAAATACGAAACAATGTTCTTTTTGTCAATAAAGTATTCGAATACCTGATGCAGTATTCGAGTACCTTATTAAGTATTCGAATACCACACGAAAAATATTCGAATACTTGCTGGGAAGAAGGCCTATAACGGCCATAAACGGCTATAAATGAAGTATTCGAATACCACACAAAAAGTATTCGAATACTTACTGGGCAGAATGCATAAAACGGTCATAAACGGCTAGTTTTCAATGGAAACACTATAAATACATTCCTTATGACCCTAAAACGAAGATATCACCATTCCTACACATCTTAAGGATGATTTGAGAGCTTCTACACTATCATTTGCATATTCTTTTATATCTTTCAAAGATCAAACATATTTGAGCTCATATCTTGAAAATCCATATACCCATAGTGCTTCAAGTTGTATATCCACACTTTGAGAGTGTATATTCATTTCCTAATATTCTTCTTCTTGTATTCTTGAGTTGAAAGGGTTGTGAGACCCATTATTTGAGAGGTAGCCAAATACCTAAGTAAATTTGGAGTGAATTGTAAGGTTACCAAGTACCCGTAAACTTGGAGATTGAAAGGTATCCAAGAACCCGAAATCTTGGAAGATTGTAAAGGTTTGTCAAGCACCCGTGAAGCTTGACCATTAGTGAAAGAGTTGATCGAGCGGCTTCAGTCTGGACGTAGGTCACAAGTGGTCGTGACCGAACCAGGATATATTGTGTTAGCAATTCTCTAAACTCTAAACTCTTTATTTCTAGCACTTTAATTGCTTCTTTGATATATTGTATGTGCTAGTATAAGTTCTATAATTGTGATATATTATATATTATGAATTGTCTGAATGTATTGATTAGATTTTCACATATTAAAGTTTGCTTGAAATGATTATTTAAAAACTAGAAGGGGGCTTTTGTGAAAATTTTGTAATACTCAATTCACCCCCCTCTTGAGTATGAAAGCCACATTCCTAACAAGTTCATTGATTGCAATTGTGTTAAATATAATTTTTCTTGGTGTTATACCATTGTTTTTTTTTAAATTATCATATCTTTTTTCTCGATTTACGATTTTACTTTTATTCAGGTTCATGAATTGCCCACCCAATTAGTTTGGAATAAAGGTCACATCGAAGTTCATCTTGTTAATATTTCTTGGCTGCATTAAGTGATTCACCGGATTATAAAATCACTCCTCATTAAATCTGGACTGACGAGGGTGGGGTGAGGTTAATATTTATCGCAGTCTTACCCTTGCATATTTGCAAATTTGCTGTTTATTGGATTTGAACCCATAACCTTTTAAGTCACAAAGCTGCTCAGGCTCACCCTCTTAAGTGATTCACTGGATTATATAATTGATATTTTTAATTGCTATTGTGTGAAATTCCTTTAGATATTTGATTTTCTGGAGGAATTTGAGCTCTTTCTGATTTTTATGTTGTGATCGATGGCTGGGATATTGCAATATATAAGTGCATCATCTGGTAGTATATTGGCTTCATAAACACTTTGGAGAACCTCTTCTCATATGAGTGCTCTGAAGTATCTGAGGGCGCCGAGGCATCAGCGTTTTGCTGCCAAAAAGTATCTTAAAGGTAAATGTAGACTTATGAACTCAATCTAGCCACTCTTTTGAGTAGAATGCTAAAATTTCTATGAATGAAAGCAACTCATATTGAAGTTTGTGGGCTTTTGGCTGCTGTAATAGTAAAATGTTTTATGCCTGTGTCAGTGAATTAGTTTTTACTTATTTGAAGTTTCTTAAACCCAAAATTTGTCATCAACAGATACTCAGGGATAAAGATATAGAGAGTGAATGATTTTTTTTTTCATAGAATGTATGTAATATTCCAGAAAAATAATAATAATTTATAATAATAATAAATTATTATTAATTATAATAAACTATAAATTAGTAGTAATAATATATATATTTGATGGTGATAGATAACAAAGTATAATATTAATTTTACCTTTGATAAAATTATTTTGTGTGATATATGTGTGATATGAGTGCTATTGGAAATTGATTTTGTTACTTTGTAATACTTCAGAATGTTAATAATAAAATAATATATATATATATATTAAATGATAAATTGTAATTAATTGAATTATTAATTGATTGATCATTTATGCTTTAATGTTTGATTATTTGATTGGTAATGTTTGATTAGGATGAGTCAACAAACATAATTTGATTAGATATGATGAGTTGGCAAATAAGTTAGTTATATTATAAGAAATTAATAATAAAAAGAAAATAGTGTACGAAACCAATATCTGAGCCAGATACATCAATAAAAAACAAGGAAATAATTGCACAAAACTCATGTCTGAGCCCAAAACCTTAACTATAAATAGAGGCCTAGTATAACCAAATCAATTCACTTTCAATCCTCAGTATTTCTCATCTTCTCCTCTGTCACTCTCTTCTTACCTCAAAATTTTATTTATTTATTTTAATTTGGTCATAACCGCTTCTCTTCCCCAAATTCTAGAAGATAACAAACACGAAAACCAGGTAATCCTAATCTCTACGTGCTCTTAGGTTAGTTTTATATGAAATTTAGATTAATTATATATGATTTATGTTTTTGGTTGGATTAATATATTAATTTTATTCTTATTTGGTATAATTCCAATCTTTAGGTAACTTTATTTAAAATCTATTATATATAATTCTAATCCCTAGAAATTCATGGGTTATATTGAAATAAATTTTGGTATATGTAATCCTAATCTCTAGATGCTATTAGGTTAGTTTTATATGAAATTTAGATAAATTATATATAAATTATGGTTGATATAATATTGGATTAATATATTAATTTTATTTTTATTTGATATAATTCCAATCTTTAGGTAATCTGTAAGTGACTTTATTTAAAATCTATTATATGTAATCCTAATCCTTAAGAATTTTTAGGATGTTTTCATATGTAACCCTTAGGGTATTTAAATAAAATTATTTTAACCTCTAGAAATTTATTAGATTAATTATTGCACTTTGGCTTTACTCTAATAAATGTGAATATTTGAATTTTGATTTGGAAAAATTATGATATGATGATTGGATTTGGGTTTTACTCTTTGAATTCTAATTTGGAAAATTATGATATGATAATTGGATTTGGGTTTTACTCTTATAGATGTTGAATATGAACATTATGATATTTTGGATAATGGATTTGAAAATTATGATATTATTGAAAGATTGAATTTGAAAATTATACTCTTGATTAAATTGATCATGAAAACTATTTGACAATTATGAGAATCGTGACAAGATTAAATTGATTGTGTGTGATTGTAATAAATAATAGTGGGAAGATAACTTTTGGGATGGTACCTCCTGAAAATGATGAACACAACATTTGGGCTTCATGCTTTTGATATTTATTTGATGTGACAATGATGTTTCCGTTCTTTCCAATGTGGTATCTGGCAATAGGGTTTTCCGGGGTACTAGTAGCAACTTCGGAAAGATGTGTGCACACTAGGATTTGATATTTTGATATAGCCAATTTTGATTATACGTGGCTGGCAACAGAGTTTCCCAGGTCACGGGGTAGACTGGCAACAGGTTTTCCGAGTCTACCATAGTTCTCTTCCCACTGAATGGATTAAATAAATATTAATATAGTTAATAACAAGTTGATATTTGATTTGAATTTTTGAATTATATTATTTTATTGGATTATTATGAGTTATATTTTTATTTGTTTATTTATTTATTTATTTATTTTTGTATATCGAATTTGGATTACCAACATTTGTTTGACTGCAATGATCCTGCGGGATAGTAAATCAAGTTACAAAGGATAAAGCTAGGCAGTAAAGTTAATTACTCAGAGATTTTTGTTAATCCTAAATTTTATGTATAAGACATATCTCTGATTTTATTATAATATTTATGAATGTAATAAAGAGCCTTGCACTTGTCCTTGTACATGTGCGGCAGTAACATTTTTCCAAATTAATTTTAGATTAGCTTCCGCAATAGATAATTAAATATTTTATTTTATTTTATTTTATTTGAAATTTCTCAGCTTCCGCAATAGATAATTAAATATTTTATTTTATTTTATTTGAAATTTCTCTATTATAGGAATATTTTATTATTGTTAAAATTGTTAGAAATTTGGGGGCCCTTTGGTTACTACTGATAATAAATCATTGGTTATTCTGTTGAAGAACCTCTGCTTCAGCCTTTCCCATAGGATCATCTTTGATCTCAATTTCCTCTTCCTTTTCTCCTTCTCGCTCTTCGGTTAATTGTTTCCTGTGCAAGTCTTCTGCAGCCTGCATTGCAGCGCGATTCTCCATTTCAATTCGACGCATTTCCTCCTCTTGCTGCTGCCGCTCAAACCAAGTATCAGCATCCGCCCAAACTGGAAGATTAGAAATACAGAGAGTCAATCATAAAGGACAAAATTGGATCAACAAATTTCAAATCATTCCTTGTTTACCCATACATAGCTTCAGAATCAATCCCTTAAACCCCATCCACATAAAAAATGTGTATATTTATAAATACTAAATAATTCACTATAACGGTTAAGAAAATCATAAAACATTGCATAGACAGGGTACATTCTGTCTCTCCACTCTAGTCATCATGCTCTCTCTTAACAATCCTTTATTAACTTAGGCATGGCTAGTTTTAAAAAATGAGTATAAATTAAATTCACCATGATTGATAAGCTACATTGGTCTCTCCATATATAACTTTACACACATGGATCACAAATTAAAAAAGTGATCATATGCTTCCACTGAAACAATAATTAAATTTGAGAATCCATAATAAGAGTCACAATAAGGCAGAATAGACAACATAAAACAGCACCAATTTCTTCCTCAAACCCTACCCAATTAAAACGAGGCACATATAACAATTTAATTGAAAGACAAAAACAGAATGAAAATTGAAAAGGGGGAAATTAGAATTAGGGTTAGACATACTTGGCTGAGCAGCCCAGCCTATCTCGCCACCCTTGATCTTCTCAGGGAGGGCATAATTGACGGTGAGGACGCGGCCGTAGAGCTCGGCGCCGTCCATGTTGTCCATGGCGGCGGCGGCGTCTTCCCTCTCGAGGAAGGTGATGAAACCGAATGAACGGTGCTTCTGGGTGGCCTGGTCGAGCGGCGTCTTCACGTCCTTGATGTCACCGAAGGGTATGAACGCCGCGTGCAATATCGACTCGTTCACCTCCTCCGCCAACACTCCCACGTACACCGTGTTCTTCTGCGATCCTTGCATCGTCGCCGTTGGTAGGGCTTCGCGCTCTGCAACGTTGCAATTACAACACCAGCGTTTTCTCTTTGCTGTTTGGGCTCGGCTGGGCTAATGGGCTGGCCCAGTAGGTCTCATTTGTGAGCTATGAAGCACCACACTTTAAAAATTTTGACGTGTCGTGTCCGACACTTTTTGACACACTCGGACATTTTCCGACACTCCAATACGCGTTATAGATATTCAAAATAAGATTTAAAGGTTGCATTGCGTTGAGTTTTTAGTTCCAACTATGAGATTCGTTGGATTACGATTACTATTTTATTGAGTTCAATATAAATATTTGGGATATCTTATGTTTATTTGTAAAATTTATGAATATTATAAGTTTAGATTTATTTTTTTTTAAATTATTGAATATTAAATATAATATACACTACATAAATTAAAAATATTATTTAATATCAAAACGTGTTTTAACCTATCGAAATCTAACATTTTTTAGAATTAACGTGTGCCACAATTTAGCACATGCTTGTTACGGCATTCATTAAGCCAACTCAAACGAGATTTTTCCTCTAAAATTCAAAGTCAGTGCAAAAGAAACTGAGTTTATTTCTTATATATGAGAGGTGGCTCAATGCCAACCCCAATAGGCAAATAGTTACCTATTATAGTACTGCTTTAATACATGAGTCAATTACTTGAAACCAAAGTCCTTTTGGTGGATTTTCAGAACAATAAGATAGCAGAGTGGGTCTAAAGTCTATGAAATTACAAAATAAATTCCCAGGCCTCTGCTGCATTGCTTCAAAAGCCATCACATTTCAAATTATTCTTCTCATGATAGTATCAGCAAGATTTGAAAGAGGTTTCCTATTGATTTTTCAAATGAATTGGTGCTTCCTATAGGGGGAAAAATTACAGGGCTATGATTTAAATGTGCATTCACTGTAATGTATGCCATCTCCAGATGCTAACATATCACAAGTGAAAGGGGTAATCGGGGGATCCTCCATCCCACTAACAGCACCGTCAAGCTCCTTAGTGTAGTAATGTATCTTGGAAGTTCCATTAGTCACAAACAAAACCTTAAGATTATCGTGCCATAGTGGTGCAACCACTTCGGGTTCATAGTGGACAAACTTTGACCTGGCATTATTTTTGGTGTCAAATTCTTCAGATGGTGTGATCCCACATAAGAACTCTAATTCTTGCTTAGTGACCTCAATAATGTCTGCAAGATTCCACACTTGCTGAATGAACATCTTAGTTTCTTCCCTAGAGTGCCACAGTGGCATAGGAAGGTTTAGATCAAAGAAAACAACTGCTCCAAAATACTTTGCAATCTTGATGGCTTGCAATGTAGTGGATTTCATGTTACGATCAAGCAGTGAAGGTGTGTTGAAGTAGAACATCTTTGCCTGCATGAGATATTCTTAAGATACTCAATGGCATTTGGTAGCAATCTAACCTCTAAAGCATCTGAAAGCAAATAAGTAAGTACAAGCATAAATTATACAGAAGACGTAACATACTCCTAGGCAAGCAACCATGCACAAATGAAACCTAGTAGTAAATTGTTCCATGCTTTTACTTTTTTCTCAAGTGCACACATGGCTGTAACTAATACGGCAATCAACAATGCACCATTTCAACAAAAAACGTAGTTGTAAAATATAGAACAATAAAAATACAAGCAAGAGGTTTAAACTTCTCTTTCTTGTAGTTCTGATTTCTGAGTCTTCTCACCAAGCTGAACCACTTTGCAAGTTGAATTCAATCCTTTCTGGGTTTCGCTTCTCCTGAAGAAAGTTTATAACTTTACTCAGAAAATCACAATCCGAGAAAGAATCATCAATGGCACCCGAACACGAAGACGATCTCAAGGACGAGAAGAACCCTCGACCACTTGAAGAGGATGACATCGCCCTCCTCAAAACCTACGGTTTGGGACCTTATTCTGCAAGCATAAAAAAAATGGAGAAGGAAATCAAAGATGTGGCAAAGAAAGTGAATGACTTATGTGGTATCAAGGAGTCTGATACTGGTTTAGCTGCACCAAGCCGGTGGGATCTTGTTTCTGATAAGCAAATGATGTAGGAGGAGCAGCCTCTTCAGGTGGCAAGGTGCACAAAGATTATTAATCCAAACTTTGAAGATGCTAAATATGTAATCAATGTGAAGCAGATTGCAAAGTTTGTTGTTGGGCTAGGAGACGAAGTTTCCCCCACTGACATAGAGGAAGGGATGTGTGTTGGGGTTGATAGAAACAAATATCAGATTCAGATTCATTTGCCTCCAAAAATTGATCCAAGTGTTACCATGATGACAGTTGAAGAGAAGCCAGATGTGACATATAATGATGTTGGTGGTTGTAAGGAACAGATTGAAAAGATACGTGAAGTTGTTGAACTTCCCATGCTTCTTCCAGAGAAATTTGTCAAGCTTGGGATTGATCCTCCGAAGGGTGTTCTCTGTTATGTTCCACCAGGAACTGGCAAAACACTTTTAGCCAGGGCTGTTGCTAATAGGACCGATGCGTGTTTTATAAGGTTTTTTGGAAGCGAGTTAGTTCAGAAATATGTTGGTGAGGGGGCTCGGATGGTTCGTGAACTATTTCAGATGGCTCGTTCAAAGAAGGCATGCATTGTGTTTTTTGATGAAGTTGATGCAATTGGAGGTGCCCGATTTGATGATGGTTTTGGTGGCGACAATGAGGTTCAGCGCACAATGCTTGAAATTGTAAATCAGCTTGATGGGTTTGATGCTCGGGGAAACATCAAAGTTTTGATGGAAACTAACAGGCCTGACACTCTAGACCCAGCACTTCTACGACCAAGGAGATTGGATCGTAAAGTTGAATTTGGCCTTCCTGATTTCGAGAGTAGGACACAGATATTCAAGATACACACAAGAACCATGAACTGTGAAAGGGATATCCGCTTTGAACTTCCGCTTTGAACTTCTAGCTCGGCTTTGCCCGAATTCCACTGGAGCTGATATAAGGAGTGTGTGCACTGAAGCTGGTATGTATGTTATCCGTGCCAGAAGGAAGACAGTAACAGAGAAAGACTTTCTTGATGCAGTAAATAAAGTCATCAAAGGATACCAGAAGTTAAGTGCAACTCCCAAATATATGGTCTACAACTGAGATATTCTTTCATCTACTTTCCCAGAGCACCATATTAGCACGCACTGTATTTATTTTCCCCCTTGAAAATTATTCCAGGGGCAGATGGTTCTTTCCTCGGTAGTTTTTGAAACTCTTCTGTATGAATGCATATTTCATGGTTGAATCTTACACAAAACAAAACAAAACAAAAATCTCAAGGTTCTTTACATGGTATCGGAGCCTCGTGTCCCGGGTTCAAACCTCGCCACCCCCACTTTCTCTTGTGGAATTTCTTAGCACAGGTAGGCTGGACCTGTTGCATCATCCACTCTTCAAGCTCAATGAGCTCTCGTGTGAGGGGGCGTGTTGAGATATATAATCCCACATTGGTTGTATGAGCCAACTAATGTGGAGTTTATAAGGCCTTGAACACTCCCACCCTTTGAGCTAGCTTTTGGGGTGGTGTATCCCAAGGTTCTTTACAGGTTAGATCTTCCAATTTTGCTACACAAAATATTGGTTCCATCAAATGAAGAAAAACACATATCCATTCAAGTTAAAAAATGTTGCTATATCAACAATGATCAGGCCAGAACCTAAAAGCTACAAAGAGTTCTATTTACTTCTTTCAAACCTTTTTCTTCAATGGGTTTCAAGTTTCATACCTCTTTCAGCACATCAATATTTATCTCTGACTTCGTCAAACAATCTTCAGCACAGGGTTTTACAACACTCATTTTAAGCCGACTCCTTTTACCAATCTTCATCAGTGATACAACCGTTGCCCTTTTACTATCTATACGGACTGATCGGGTTTGAACACTATTCTCATTCATATAGTACAGCATTGCTTGACCATAATCATCATCTGCGAGTTTTCCCATGAAAGCAACCTTGCCACCCAAGCTTGCAAGAGCAATGGCAACACTACCAGCCGAGGAGGTCCCAGGAGCCCTAACAAATTTTTCAGGGCTCCACAGGACATCCTTCATACTATCGTGGATTTCATAATCTATAAGCCTATTGGCAGGCCTCCCGGAAGGCACAAAAGCATGCAGCGCGGCTCCAAAGCAACAAACATGGGGAGGCCAACCATAAGAAAAGCTAATGTCCTCTCCATCATCTTTTACCAGTTCCAACCCAACATCACTCTCATCCTCCACAGTTTCAATAAATGAAGGCTCATCTTGGTCACTGATTTCAGCTTCATTACCTTTATCCTCAATAATTACATTCTCCTCTTTAGGTCTCCTTCCTCTTCTAACCTTTTTCTCTACCTTGAGTTCCTTCTCTTCATCCAAGCCAGCAGAACTAGATGTATCTATAAATTATATCATTGTTTAGCTAGCACTTATCAGCAAAACATATATATCAACGATAATATTCCCAGCATTGAGATTCGAGGACAAAGATCAAGAGATTACCTTTTTTTCGAGTCCTTCGAGTTTTCTTCTTGGAATCATCATTAGAGACAGGTGATCTTTCTTCAATGGAAGCATCATCATCTTTATCTACTAACAAATCAGTGTTCCCTTCAGGAGACCTAGTTGTCTTCTTTTCTACCACAGATTCATTTTCACTAGACTCTTTTACAATAGAGCCTAGAGAAACTTTCTTCCTAGCCATTACCAAATGACCCCATTTACACCCAGACCTGAGTTCCCCAAGTTGCACTATGTTAAAAGAAGCATAACAATGGGACCAAGTCAAGTGGTACCTGCACAATTGAAGAGGCAAGATTTACACACTCAGTCATACTCAACCACCACAAGAATTATAAGCTAAGATTCATCTAAACTTGAGCCTCTGAAGCCCACAAAACAATAAATTTCAAAACTTTCCCTGAAACCCATTACATGATTAATCCCCCACTCCCACCCCACAACAAAAAAGAGAGAAAATTTGAAGAACAATAAATAAATAAATTGAAAATTTTATGTTTTTTCATATTAAAAGCATAGGGTATCAATGGGTTTCATTTCATTTAATATACAAAACCTGGGAAGTGAGAGAAACTGGGGAAAAGAAAGACACGCCATTGGAAAGAGCGCAAGTTAAAAACACTGAGTAGTTTTTCCTCCTTCAGACATGACAGACTAGCTAAGGTTCTGCATAGAACAAGATTATGGCTGAAGAGAGAGAAAGGGTTTAAGAACAACAATCAAAACGACAAGGGTTTTTAAAAGGGCAGAGTGGTCAAAACGTCATGACGTTTTAGCAAAGTTTTGGCCTTTCCTTTATTCACGATAACATGCCCTTATTAAACCTATTATAAGTGTCGTTTTTGGTATTGTTTTTTCTTCGTGCGCGGGTTTGTGCTCGAGAGTGGTCTTCTAATTGGTAACTTAAGGTAAGCAGGATTATCACTCTCTGTTTCTTGTTATGTCAGGTGATATGCCTCCAGCATATATATGATTTTAAGTCAAAAAGATAAAGAATCTTGATCAATCTTGAATAAAAAGGGCTAGAATTATTATTAAATTGATAAATCCTAATCAGATATCTTGTCACTGATTTTCTTATATTTTTGTAGGAAAAAGTACAAGAAAGGGGCCCAATTGAGCAGCACAAAAAAAAACACAAGATTTGATCCACTAAGATAGTAGCGCGAAGATACTGAATCTAAACAAAAATCCTACGCTATCAGCGCGAGATCCGCGTTAGTAGCGCGGGAAGCACATGACAGTTTTAAATCTTATATCAAAATATATTTAGAGGAGATTGGAATCAAGAGACATGATCAAGATTTGAATCAGAGGGAAAATCTTTAACTTATCTCAGATTGTACCAGAGAAGATTGGACCAAGATACAAGATGAAGATTTGATCAAGATTTCTAAACAAGGCATAAACTCTATAAATAGAGACTCAGACCTCAGAGCAAACCATCTTTGGCTGGAGATAATTGTGAGACCAGAGAATTGAGAGAGTTCTTGGAGACTCACGCTGGAGATCAGGATTCCACCGGAGTTGAAGACTGAAGACCATTGAGCTTTCTTCTTCTTCTCCTTTTCTTTTTCTTTCATGAACAATATTTATTTGAATTTGTTTAAGCCAGTTATGTCTGGCTAATTTCGTTTTGTAGTTGAGATCACGGACCCGATGTGAATCCTTTGTATTTTCTGTATTGTTTTTATAATTCAATTAGTTAGTTTGTTTTATTCTACCTGTGTTAATTCTTCCATACTCTGTTTAGAATTGACCACTCTAAATTATAGGGCTTTGAGGGTTAGGACTCACAATAGACATATTGGGGTTTTAGTCTGGACAAGGGTAGAATAACAATTTGTGCATGACCTGGACATAGGCTTACATAGATTGCAGACTTATAATTCATTTGCTTAATGCTTAATTCAAAAGGGATTACTAGGACACTATGATTCTAATTGGGTTAAAGGGTTGAAATCACTAAGACATTAGGATTCAACTAATTTATAGGGAAATAATGAATTGTCTGAGCAAACCAATTAGTTAATTATAAAATACAATATAGGAATATAAGGGAGGATCGGAAGTGAAGTGCATCCTGGCTACAGTTTTATTCTTGATTTTAAAACTCAATTTTTATTTAAAATTGTCTTTTTAATTAATTTCTTTTATTGTCGTCTTTATTTAATTTTTAATTAAATATTGGTTACCTATGAAATCACATTTTGGATGCGTCTAACTTAGATAAAAGCGGTGAAAATATTGCTTGAATTTAGTCCTCGTGGGAACGATACTCTTACTTAATCACTTTATTACTTATACGACCGGTATACTTGTCGTGTTCGCAACAAGTTTTTGATGCCGTTTCCGGGGACTAAAAATCAACAATAGTAGTATCTGTGGAGTTTAAGATTAGACCTTTATTTTTATTTTTTTATTTTTACCCTTATTATTTTATTTTTATTTTTATTTAAAAAATCTGGTTTATGCGAGGTGCAGTTGATCCAAACGACTTGCTCTACGAACCAGAAATTGAAAAGATCGCAAGGGAGAACAGAAGGCTCACTAAGGAGCAAAAAGAAAAAGAATGAGTGAACAGAGCACTCTTCCAAGAAGGAACATCAACTATGGCTGAAGGAAATGAGGATACCATGGAGCAATTCCTCAACCCATCATTTGCACTTGTCACTGATGCCATCATCATTCCACCAATCCAGGCCAATAATTTTGAAGTTCATCCGGCCTTCCTGCAGCTATTCCAGAGTAACCAATTTTCAAGGGAAGACGACTATGATCCCAATCTTCATGTGTCAGGATTTTTGGAACTATGTCGTCTTCACAAGCATAATGGAGTTAGCACTGATGTTATCCGTTTGATACTGTTTCCTTTTACACTGAAAGGAAAAGCAAAGGAATGGCTAAGGAATGAACCAGAAGGAAGCATCACTTCATGGGATGATTTGGTGATTAAATTTAGAAATAAGTTCTTTACTCTTTCTAAGTTCATGCAGAAGAAGCGAGAGATTGACCATTTCTCTCAGAATGATGGTGAATCTTTTGGAGCGGCTTGGAGGAGATTCAAAGGCTTATTGACCGCTTGCCCACAATATGCTCTTCAAGAGGGAGATAACATGGTATATGCCCTGCTGATAGAAAATTTCTGAATGCAGCTGCAAATGGATCTGATGAAAAAGAAAGAGTGTTTTTCTGTATAACACTATTGATTGATTACATTGAGAGACCCAATAGGTCCTATTTATATTGAGTACAAAGAACAATGCTAATAAATAGCAACAGTAAACTAAGAGACTTATTTACAATAACAAGAGACATTAATAAATAAGGGAACAGATAGCAAGGAAGTAATAAATGATAATCTAGAATATTCTACACTCCCCTCAAGTTGGGAGATATATATTGATCATTCCCAACTTGCTGATCAAATCCTCAAAGGTCGGCTTAAGTAAACCTTTGGTGAGAATATCTGCCGTTTGTTCCTTGATAGGTATATATGACAAGCATACACTACCGTCTTCTAATTTTTCTTTGATAAAGTGACGATCGACTTCCACATGTTTTGTTCTGTCATGATGGACAGGATTTTGAGCAATGCTGATAGCAACTTTATTATCACAATATAATCTGATAGGTAGGGAATAAGAAATCTTCAACTCTTCCAGAAGTCTTCTTAACCAAATTCCTTCACAAATACCATGGGCTAAAGCCCGAAATTCCGCTTTTGCACTGCTTCTTGCAACAACAGTTTGTTTTTTACTTCTCCAAGTCACAAGGTTTCCCCAGACATAAGCACAATATCCTGAAGTAGATCTTTGATCCATTGCAGAGCCAGCCCAGTCTGCATCTGTATAAACTTCAATCATCCTTTTGTTCCCCTTTTTAAAGAGAATTCCTCGACCAGGGGTGTTTTTGAGTTACTTGAGAATTCTATAAACAGCATTAAGGTGTTTTTCCTTAGAAGAATGCATGAATTGGCTAACCATGCTCACAACAAAAGCAATATCAGGACGAGTGTGAGACAAATAGATTAATTTCCCCACTAGTCTCTGGTTCTGCTCCTTATCAACATCTTCCCCGTCCTCAACTCCCATCTTGATATTAGCTTCAATTGGAGTCTATGCTGGCTTGCACCCAAGCATACCTGTTTCTTGCAACAGGTCTAGAATGTATTTTTTCTGAGTTAAGGAAATTCCTTCCTTACTTCGAGCAACTTCCATGCCAAGGACGTATTTGAGAGATCCAAGATCTTTTAGTTCAAATTGATCAGCTAAACATTTTTTTAAAAAGGCTATCTCCTCGGTATCATTACCAGTGACAATTATGTCATCAACATAAACAATGAGGATAGCAATTCTACCTTTGTCAGAGTGTTTAAAGAATAAAGTGTGATCAGTCTGAGCTTGGGTGAACCCTCTTCCCTTAACAGCTTGAGTAAATTTCCCAAACCATTCTCTGGGAGATTGTTTAAGTCCATAGAGAGACTTCTGCAACTTGCACACAGAACCATCCCCTTTTTCAAAACCAGGAGGTGGATCCATGTAAACTTCCTCATGTAGATCACCATTTAAGAAGGCATTCTTGACATCTAACTGTTGCAATGGCCAATCAAGGTTGGCGGCAAGAGATAGCAGAACGCGGATAGTGTTAAGCTTGGCAACAGGAGCAAATGTCTCTTGATAATCAATCCCATGAGTCTGAGTAAATTCCTTAGCAACTAATCTGGCCTTATACCTGTTGATGTTGTTATCTGCATTAAATTTTATTGTGAACACCCACTTGCAACCAACAGTTTTCTTTCCTTTAGGTAATGTCACAAACTCCCATGTTCTATTTTTTATAAGTGCATCCATTTCTTCTAATACGGCGTTCCTCCATTTTGGGTCATCAAGTGAATAAGAGAGCTCGAGCAACTTCAATTAGAAGTCTATTTTTCCTTTCAGCCACCCCATTTTGTTGAGGGGTGTTAGGACAATAACTTTGATGAATAATTCCATGCTGGTTTAGGTAATCTCCAAGAACAGAATTAAAATATTCAGTGCCATTGTCTGTTCGCAGAATTTTGATAGGAGTCTGGAATTGAGTTTGAATCATAGCATGAAAATTTTTAAAAGTGGATGCCGCATCAGACTTGTCTTTTAAGAGATATACCCAACATACCCTAGAATGATCATCAATGAAAGTAATAAACCAACGAGCACCCGAGACATTTTTTTCACGAGCAGGTCCCCAAATATCACTATGAATCAATGTAAAGGGAGAAGATTCATGATATTTCTTAGGAGAATAAGTGACACGAGAATGTTTTGCAAGCTGACAAATATCACAAAGAAAGGAACTTGGCTTTTTATTGATAAATAAGTTAGGGAATAACTTCTGAAGATAAACAAAATTTGGGTGCCCTAACCTACAATGCCATAACAAGACATCATTACAATCATCTGATAAACATAGAGAGTGGTTTGAAAAAAATCCTCCTTTCACAAAGATCCTCCTCCAAATAGTATAGCCCTTCTTCCTCTCTAGCACTGCCAATCATCATCCCCGAGTCCTGCTCCTGAAAGATACAAGCATTTGCAGAATACTTAGCAACACAATGCAACTCAGCAGTAAATTTGCTAATAGAGATGAGGTTACAAGTAAGGGAGGGAACATGAAGGACTGAGTTCAAAATAATATGTTCAGAAAGTTTAATGGATCCCTTGCCCGAAATAGTGGAGAAATTTCCATCAGCTGTTCTTATTCGTGACGGGTGATAGTAAGGGGTATAGGAAGAAAATAAGGTTGCGTTACCTGTCATGTGATCAGAGGCTCCTGAATCAAGGATCCAACGATTACTACGTTCAACATGAAATGCCATACCTTTTTTAGCAACATGACTAGTTGCCTCAGCAGGTTGAGACATCAATTTCTGAAATTGCTCATACTGGGCCTTAGAGAGGAGAACACCATCGGGGTTTGAAGGGACATGAGACCCCTCCCCCTTATCTTCAGAAGATACTTGATTAGCACGATTCTTGTTCTGTCATTTTGGTTTTCAGTTTGGTGGTTTGCCATGAATTTCCCAACATTTTTCACGGGTGTGACCACCCTTATTGCAATGAGAACACCAACGGTCAGAACGTTTTGAGTCCCCAGAAGGACGAGCAATATTCTTTGTTATAAGGGTTGACCCATCAGAGGACTTAGAGTCCTTATCACCCAACATTACCTTTCGGCGAAGCTCCTCCCTTCGTACCTCAGAAAAGGCAGTGGCAATGGAAGGTAATGGGTTTTGCCCCAAAATTCTTCCACGAACATCATCCAGAACAGAATTAAGGCCAGCAAGAAAATCATAGAGACGCATTTTCTCTATATAATTTTTGAATATTGCATTAGCGTCTAAACCTTGAAGGTCTGCTTTATCATAAAGATCCAACTCTTGCCACAATGTTTTTAGAGCAAGGAAGTATTCAGTAACAGTTATCCCTCCTTGGCGTAAATCTTTCACCTTGGTGTTGAGTTCAAAAGCCTGAGAGGCATTGCCCAGGTCAGAGTAGTATTCTTTAATAGCTTCCCAAATTTCTTGAGCCGTATCAAGGAATAAATAAGTTTGACTGATATCCGGTTCCATAGAATTAGTCTGCCATGTCATGACCAAAGCATTTTCAGTCACCCAAGCATCATAGCCAGGTTCATGTTCTGCTGGTTGAACCTTTTTTCCATCCAGATACCCCATCTTCCCTTTGGCCTGGATAAACAACTTAACAGATTGACACCATTGCACATAGTTTCTACCGTTAAACGGTGATTGGTGATCTGCATTGCTGGGTTGTCTCCAGAAGACGAAGAAATGGGAAGGGGTGAGGTTCCGGTCGAAACTCTAGATGAATTTTCAACATTTTCAGTGTCTATGGCTTCCTAATAACAATACCCAGAAAAAAATTCCTCCAAATATGATTTTGACCCTCAAAACAGGAAGAGGGAAGGCAGACGATCAGAACGGGGTATGACTCGCCGGAAAAAATGATGGGAGGCCGGCGCGTGGACCACACGCGCCGGCGAAGTTGAAGGATGTTGGCGGTGCGTGGCTGGGTTTCCAGGGACGGGTCTTTTGTTGGCTGGCTCGGAATTTTGTTCTGGACCTAATGGTGGCCTTGGTTTTGTGGTTGGAGGTGTCTAGGTGAGGGTTCTGGCCTTGACAGAGGCAAAAAACGAAAAAAAGGAATGGAAGGAAGACTTAAAGAAGTTAGAACAGGTAAGAGACTGGATTTTAACCAGCTCTTGATAATGATGAAAAAGAAAGAGTGTTTTTCTGTATAACACTTTTGATTGATTACATTGAGAGACCCAATAGGTCCTATTTATATTGAGTACAAAGAACAATGCTAATAAATAGCAACAGTAAACTAAGAGACTTATTTACAATATAAAAGAGACATTAATAAATAAGGGAACAGATAGCAAGGAAGTAATAAATGATAATCTAGAATATTCTACAGGATCATTCGTAAACAAAGCTCCAGCTGCATCTTTACAACTCATTGAAGAATTAGCTGCTGAAGAGAATGAGGATGTACCTAGCTCCAAAAGAGGCATTCTGCAGGTGGATAGACTTGACATCTTGATGACTGGTCAACAGAGTTTGCAGAAGCAGATGGACTCTCTCACGAAGATAGTTGCTAAGAATCAAATCTCTGCCATTAATGCTGAGGAACCAGTGGTATGTGACATTTGTGCTGAAGGACATTTGGCTGTGAATTGGCCGTTAGCTCAACCTTCAGAAGTCAACTATATGGGAAACCCGCAAAGGAACAACTACCAAGGCAGCAACAACACGGGTTGGAGGAATAACTCAGGTCTCTCTTACAATCCACAACCACAGCAGCCTGTTCCATCTAACTCAATTTCAGCTTTGGAGAAACTGGTGGAGACCATGGCTTCAACCACCAATGCTTTCATTCAAGGGACAAGATCAAACTTCAAAACTCAAGAAGCATCGAACAAGAATTAGGAGGCTTTAATCCGAAATCTTGAAACTCAGATTGGACAGCTGGCCAAGCAATTGAATGAAAGAACTCTGGGGACAATGCCTAGTGATACTGTGGTTAATCCAAGAGAGTACTGTAATGCAATCACCACTCGAAGTGGGAAGGTGATTGAACCTCAAGATAAGCCAGCCAAGGTAGACAAAGAAGTGCCAAAGAAGGAGGAGACACAAGAGGAGGATACTAAGAAAGAAGAGGCTCCTAATTATGATGATGTAACTTACTTTGGAGGAGCAATCAATCGTAATAAGAAAACTACAAACAAACTTCCATCAGGATTCAGTCAACCAAATCCTTATGCAAAAGCCCCATACCCTCTTCGGCAAAAGCAAGATAAAGAGAAGCAGCAATACTCGAAGTTTATGGAGATGTTTAAAAAGCTGCAAATTAACATTCCATTCTCCGAAGCTCTAGAGAACATGCCTCTTTATGCTAAATTCATGAAGGGTCTCTTGTCAAACAAACATAAGCTCAGAGGGATGGAAACTGTGGCTTTAACTGAAGAAAGTAGTGATGTGATCAAAAAGGGGTTGCCGTCTAAAGTCAAAGACCCAGGGAGATTTAGTATCCCTTGTACCATCGAAAATGTTAAAGTAGGAAGAGCTCTATGTGATCTGGGAGCCAGTGTCAACTTGATGCCTCTTTCTTTTGCACGATCTTTGGGGATAATGAAGATGAAATCTACCTTGATGTCTCTCCAATTTGCTGATAGATCCATCAAAAGGCCGGAAGGAGTGCTAGAAGATGTCCTTGTGGAGGTAAATGATTATATATTTCCAGCTGATTTTGTTGTACTTAATATGGAGGAAGATGACAACATGCCTCTCATCTTGGAGAGACATTCTTAGCAACCGCTAGGACACTAATTGATGTGGAAAAAGGCCAGATGATCTTTAGAGTTAATGATGGTGAATTCAAGATGAATGTTTTTGAGGCCATGAAGCATCCAGAAGATAAAGAAGACTGCTTTCAAATATTTCAAATCGATGTAATAGAAGAAGCTGTTTCAGAGATGATCCTTGAAGAAGCAAATCCTTCCACTATTGAAGATCAGTTTGCAGACATTTTTCACTCCTCAGAGCTACTGAATGATGATCAACTAACTAAGGTAGTTAAAGCCATCGATTCAACTGAAGTTTCAAATGCACAGAAAGAAGAGCTAGTTGAATTGACTAGGAAACCTGAAGGTCAAGTTCACTGCACTGTTGAAAAGAAGGTTGAGGAAGGAAACAAGAAGGAATTCCATCAGTGGCATGAAGAAAGCAAGCCAAAGGCTAAGAAGGAAAAGCTTAAGAGTAAGGAAAAACTTGTGAAAACTAAGTTTAAAGTTCCTGAGAACCCTCATCCTCATCCACGTGCATATGATAATGGAAGGACACAATACTGGACCAAGAAGATTGGGTCATCAATGGTAGTGTGCTTTCGACCACCATAATTACAAGGGGTACGTCAGGCTCGTGACGTAAAACAAGCTTTAATTGGGAGGCAACCCAATAAGTTTTTCAATTTTTTTATTTTATATTATTTTTATTCTGTTGGTTAATTTTATTTTTATTTCAAAAAAAAGTATATTTATTTTATAAAAAAAAATTATCTATTTTTTTTATTAAGAGATGGTATATTTTAGAGGGAGAATGATATTGTAACAACCAAGTTGTGTTACTACCATGTTACTACCAATCAATCTCACCGTTAGATCGATTATATTGATCCAACGATTATATTTATTTTCATCTTTGTATGGTTATGATTCTCCATATTTAAAGTGAAAGCATTAAATATGAAAAATCATAACTATACAAAGGTGGAAATAAATATAAAGTATTAAAATTGGGAAATCATGACCATACAAAGATGGAAATAAATATAACCGTTGGATCAACATAATCGATTTAACGGTGAGATTGATTGATAGTAACATAGTAGTAACACAACTTGGTTGTTACAATATCCTTCCCCATTTTAGAGTGGTTTTGAAAATTTCAGGTGAGTGAAAAATTTGTGAAAAAAAAATAGATGAATTCGCGTCCCATACGCCGATTTGACGTATCATACGCCAATTAAGAGTAGTTTCTGTCCAAAAATTCTGGTTGGGGTTCATGAATAAATCTTTGGTACTATTGCTGTATCAAAGATTCAGTGCATTTCATCAATGAAAATATTACATGTCAATTAAAATTCTTTTTTTTCTTTCAAATTTTTCTCTCTCCTCTGATGTGTAATGCTCTCATTGATGAAATGCACTGAATCTAAGTACAAAAGTAGTACCAAAGATTTATTCGAGGTTAATACGCCAAATTGAGTATCAAACGCCAAAAATCCAGTGGCTTCTCGAAGGGACCGTCCGCATCTCGTACGCCAAAGTGGCGTAAGATACGCCGATTCCAATTTGGGGTTTGTTTTATTTTATTTATTTATTTTTTATTTTATTTTTTATTACCCAATCTCCATCCCACTCATCCCCATTGTCGGAAACCCAAGGACACAACTTTCCCTTGTTCGTTAATTTTTTTTAAACCCCCAACCGGACGACACCCACCATCAGATCCACCATCACCGGTCAGCCTTCACCATCTCCTTCCACCTTCTTCACCCTCACCGCTCCACCATTGAAGACCAGGTAAGTATTATCTCCAATTTGCAAGCTAATTATCATAATATGGCTGCATTTCAGTTCTAGTGGTTCTGTTGATTGGGATAATATTCTTGTTTTTTTTTTCTACTGTGACTATCTAAGGATTTCCAGAGTTGATACCTTGAATTTGAATTTGAATTGGATGGGCACTGTAAATTGATGACAACTAGTAATCTGACTATTTTTTTTTTAGTACAAAGTAATCTGACTATTTACTTGTGTGGGACCGTGGTCATGACTTAAGCACTTTATTGACAATTGTAAATCCATACTGAACATTATTTATTACTATTTGACTTATGTTGGATCTGTACAGAAGTATGGAACAATGTTTGGAATGCATGGATTTTGAAACGAGAGCATGACAATCTTATAATAGACATATTGCTGAATATTCTCATGGCATGCCTTAGGGTCTCATTTACACTTACTAAGCTTAATTGCAACTTGATAATTCAAGTAACCTTGAGTGCGTATGTATCCTTCTATACACAGCACACTTATTATTATTATTATTATTATTCTGTTTGGACATGGTTTCATAGGATATGATTGTGTGTGTGACCAATTGGGTACAATAGGCTTATGCTACCTGATATATTTGTATTAAGCCTACATTAGAATTGACTAGTGCAAATGATTTTGTGAGATAAAGAAATTAAATCTTGGAATTATGATGACCGGATATATCTGTCTGTTGTTCTTTGTTGATTTTTGTCGATAGTTGAATATCTCATTTAATCATCTAATGGACCTGAGATTTTCCATAAAGACAGTTGTGATTTATTTTTAACAATAAATCTGGGAATGGTTGGTGTTATTACTAAATTTTATATGCCATTTGGGACTTTTCTGCGTTTCAAGGTAAAAACAATAAGGACTTTTCTACTTTTAAGTGATTCACTGGATTATATAATTGAATATTATTTTTAATTGCTATTGTATGAAATTCCTTTAGATATTTGATTTTCTGGAGGAATTTGGCTCTTTCTGATTTTTTATGTTGTGACCAATGGCTGGGATATTGCATAATATAAGTGCATCAGCTGGTAGTATATTGGCTTCATAAACACTTTGGAGAACCTCTTCTCAGATGAGTGCTCTGAAGTATTTGAGGGCGCCCAGGCATCAGCGTTTTGCTGCCAAAAAGTATCTTGAAGGTAAATGTAAACTTATGAACTCAATCTAGCCACCCTTTTGAGTAGAATGCTAAATTTTCTATGAATGAAAGCAACTCAGATTGAAGTTTGTGGGTTTTTGGCTGCTGTAATAGTATAATGTTTTATGCCTGTGTCAGTGAAATAGTTTTTACTTATTCGAAGTTTCTTAAACCCAAAATTTGTCATCAACTGATACTCAGGGATAAAGATATAGAGAGTGAATGAAATTTTTTATTCTTTTTTCATAGAATGTATTATATATTTTACAAGGGGAGTCTGGGCACAACTTCTGATTTTGTCGCCATGACCTAGGTTCAAATGATGTAATCAGGAGAAAAACTTTAGTGCGCCGGGATCACCGAACACGGTGCTCCCTTTTATTAAAAAAGGAAAAAAAAATTCCTTTTTATCCATTTTTTTTTTTTATATTTCCCTTTAAGTCCTAACAATTTTTCCTTTATAGTAAAATGGACCACTGAGTTTGGTAGTTCTGGTACACTGAAGTTTTTCTCTGTAATCAGCCTCTTATAGATATAGGGTAAGGCTGTCTACTATTGACCTCTAGTCTTTCACTGAACCTGCGCATAATGAGAACTTTATAGCACCAGATTGCCTTCTTTTTTTTGTAATATATTGCATAGTTTAGTGATTTAAAGATAAATTCTTTTGGCTTTCTCGGCCATGTACGGTATCTAAACGGTGTATTTTTTTTTCCCTAAGGTTTACATGTGAAAGGATATGATATAACTAGATGGAAAGTAATCAGAGCTCATCATTTTTGGATAATCAATCAAAGCCAATTACCTTATTGTTTTAATTTTGATTGCAGTACTGGGCTTTTCCTCTCTTCACACAGCGCCAAATTCCTCTGTGGAACTTCACTCACAAGATGAGGAAGTAGTGATTGCTTTGGGAAGTAATGTAGGTAATAGGTTACATAACTTCAAGGAAGCCTTGAAATCGATGAGGAAGTCAGGGATACACATCACAAGACATGCTTGTTTATATGAGACAGCGCCAGCATATGTTACTGACCAACCTCGCTTTCTCAACTCTGCAGTTAGAGCTGTTACTAAACTCGGGCCACATGAATTATTGGCTGCACTCAAAAGAATTGAGAAGGACTTGGGCCGTACAGATGGTATAAGGTATGGTCCAAGGCCAATTGACTTGGACATTTTATTCTATGGTAGATTTAAAGTCAGATCTGATATTCTCACTATACCTCATGAAAGAATTTGGGAACGGCCATTTGTTATGGCCCCTTTGATGGATTTGCTGGGATCAGCTATTGACAGTGATACAGTTACTAGCTGGCATTCATTTTCAGGCCATTCTGGGGGACTGTCTGAATTATGGGAAAAATTAGGTGGTGAATCCCTCATTGGAGAAGAAGGTATGTATAGGGTAATGCCCCTTGCAAATACCTTACTTGACTGGTCACGCAGAACTTCTGTCATGGGGATCCTTAATTTGACTCCTGATAGTTTTAGTGATGGAGGAAATTTCCAATCCGTGAAGTCTGCTGTTTCTCAGGTTCAGTTAATGATTTCAGAAGGGGCAGATATAATTGATATTGGTGCTCAGTCTACTAGGCCAATGGCATCTAGGATCTCTGTTGAAGAAGAATTAGGTAGATTAATCCCTGTCCTCGAAGCCGTAATGTCAATGCCTGAGGTAGAAGGAAAGCTCATATCTGTGGATACTTTCTACTCTGAAGTTGCTTCAGAAGCAGTGAGTAAAGGGGCTCATATTATAAATGATGTATCTGCTGGGCAGTTAGATGCTAATATGTTTAACGTAATGGCAGATCTTGATGTTCCTTACGTTGCAATGCACATGAGGGGGGACCCATGTACAATGCAGAATAGTGAAAACCTGAAATATGACAATGTTTGTAAGGAGATATCATCAGAATTATACTCAAGGATTAGGGAGGCAGAAATGTCAGGAATTCCAGCATGGAGGATTATTATTGACCCTGGCATTGGATTCTCAAAGAAAACTGAAGACAATATAGAAGTCCTCACAGGACTACCTGATATCAGAGCTGAGATTGCCAAAACAAGTTTGGCCATCTCTCAAGCTCCTATACTAATTGGACCCTCGAGAAAGAAATTTTTAGGTGAAATTTGTTCTCGTCCTGCTGCAGTTGAGAGGGATCCTGCTACCGTTGCTTCTGTCACAGCTGGTGTGTTGTGTGGGGCTAATATTGTTAGGGTGCATAATGTCAAAGATAATCTAGATGCTGTGAAGCTTTGCGATGCAATTCTAAGACAGAAAAGTTCTCCCATGAAATTTAGACAATGAATTTGTCTTGCTACACCAATTCTGATACTGTTTTGCCATGTGCTACATCTTTTAGTCTATGAATTTGGCTCTATGCAAAAAAATTTATTACTGTTGTTCTTTGCCATGTCACTCCTATTCCAAGGTCATATGTAGAAGTAGAACAGTAGAATACCAAAGCACTGTCAATGCCGGAGCAAAGAAGCATGAAGTACAAAGAATTGAAGGATATGTCGAATGACAATAAAGTTGACGTTACGTATCATCATTCAATACTTCTAAACTTATATGTCTTTCTCGTATTTATTTCGTCCCTTAACTTGTAATGAATTTACAGATTTTATTTCAGCTCTTCACTTGTAACTTATTGATTCACAGATTTAATAATGAGCAAGAACCTTGTGATTTTGAGACACAGAAGGAATCTGAGCTTGCAAAGCTCACTAAATTCAACTAGAATATGATATAAGATGTTGATTTATATTATAAATAATAGCTTAGGTTTTAATGTGTTGTTTATGTTCATGTTATGGAAATTAGGGAGCACCAAATTACATTCGCACCATATGTACCTTGTAGTATCGAGGAGAATTGACAAAGGGAATGATTACAAGGACTGAGAATTTTTGTTTAAACTTCCGACAATTGTACAATTTCTGCATCCACGGTAAAATTTGGAACCCTGACCCATTTGTCACAAATTTCAAAAAAAATTGCTCAAATGCCATGCATAAAGTAAAAAATTTCAAAGTGTCACGGATACAGATTCACTGTAATAAATAGTGATTTTAATTGGCAAACTGATATTTCTGGTGGCCACTGGCCACCTAATTTACTGTTATAATTGATAGTAACAAATTAGATGGTCAAAATGTCAAATTGCTTTGAGCAAAAACAAAACATGTGACAGCCTTATACAAATTGGCTAGATAGGCTAGCAAATATAGTGGTGCACTTTTCCATAATTTTGAATAAACTCAATTCAGAAAGAAACTATTCCTTTACAACCATACACCGATTAAACGTTCTTGTGGCAGGAATTGAATAATTTTGGAACCATGCATTTTAAATTGATAGGTATACTTTAGTGAAGAAAGTGCACAATAAATAAATGCAATTTTTGTGTATAATAAATTACATATATACAACAATTAAATATCTTATTTATAGTCAACAAGTGCTCAAGGACAAGGAATAAAAAAAATAAAAAATATTTAATGTTGAGATATTTAATTGTTGTATATATGTAATTTATTATGAGATAGGTTATTATATCTACTTTTTTCATGTTTACCTTATCTAATACTCTCTATCACCATTAGATCAGAATCTCTTAAGAGGAGAGAGAAATAATAAAAAATAATTAAAATTCTAATTTAACGATGATGAAATGGTAGATAAAATAGGCATAAAAAAATTCCGTGTTATACACAAACTTATATTTTATAAAAAAAAATATCCCATTTATTATACACAACTTATATTTCATAAAATTGCAATTATTTATTGTTCACTTTTTTCAAAATAGTATACATATCAGTTTAAAGTGCATAGTTCCAAAATTATTCAATTCTTGACACAAGAACGTTTAATCGGTGCATGGTGATAAAGGAACCGTTTCTTTTTAAATTGAGTTTATTAGAATCATGGAAAAATGCGGCCACTATATTCACTAGCTAGAGAATTTGTACCAGACTGCCATATATCCTATTTTTACTCAAAATAGACTGACATGTCCTATTTTTGCTCAAAATAGATTGACATTTTGATAATCTAATTCACTATTACCAATAGAAAATTAAATGGCCACCAAGAACGTATCACGTTTATAAACTAAAATTGCTACTTGTTATAGTGAATTTACTGTTCACAAGACATTAGGGAAATTTTTTTGAAATTTGTGGCAAATGGATTCCGTTTGGTTGGATTTTTTTTAAGTTGTTTTTTATAAAATAAAAGCGTTTTTCACTTATGTGTATAACTGAATGCAACTTCTGGAGGAAAAAAAAAAAAACTAAAACTGTGTTTTTTAAAGCCAAGAGTTATGCCTTCTAAAAAAAACCAAATGCATAATAAAAGCTTTAGGTTTAGAAAAAAGGTCATTCTACAAAATGTAGAGCATAAAAAGTGTACAATTTGAATTAAACGCAAGCATAATTTAACCAAAACTTCACATTCTCCTAGTAAGCGAAGTATCACCCTTCACAGGCAATAAACTTTAAACCAAACCATATATAATAATAAACAAGCGGAATCAAAGCGGCAGTTTGGTTTGATTTCATCAGTTCGGACTTTGGATCTGCAAACCATTTAAACATTTGAACAAAAGGTGAATACTGATCTAAGAATTTTTAGTGTAGTCAAATGCGAGAATTTTCACAGTACAAGTGAGGCAAACCAATAATGAAATCCTGCGCTATTTCATTTCACTAGCAAGTACACTAGCTACCCTATTTCAGAATCTATAGGTATTTATCACACCATACATCAAAGTCATCTCACATCACAGATGAGGTAAACAAATAATAAAATGCAACGTTTCCCTCACCTAGGGGTCCCCCTTTGGTTACTGATAATAAATCATTTCATTGGTTATTCTGTTGAAGAACCTCTGCTTCAGCCTTTCCCATAGGATCATCTTTGATCTCAATTTCCTCTTCCTTTTCTCCTTCTCGCTCTTCGGTTAATTGTTTCCTGTGCAAGTCTTCTGCAGCCTGCATTGCAGCGCGATTCTCCGTTTCAATTCGACGCATTTCCTCCTCTTGCTGCTGCCGCTCAAACCAAGTATCAGCATCCGCCCAAACTGGAAGATTAGAAATACAGAGAGTCAATCATAAAGGACAAAATTGGATCAACAAATTTCAAATCATTCCTTGTTTACCCATACATAGCTTCAGAATCAATCCCTTAAACCCCATCCACATAAAAAATGTGTATATTTATAAATACTAAATAATTCACTATAACGGTTAAGAAAATCATAAAACATTGCATAGACAGGGTACAACCCCACATTCTGTCTCTCCACTCTAGTCATCATGCTCTCTCTTAACAATCCTTTATTAACTTAGGCATGGCTAGTTTTAAAAAATGAGTATAAATTAAATTCACCATGATTGATAAGCTACATTGGTCTCTCCATATATAACTTTACACACATGGATCACAAATTAAAAAAGTGATTATATGCTTCCACTGAAACAATAATTAAATTTGAGAATCCATAATAAGAGTCACAATAAGGCAGAATAGACAACATAAAACAGCACCAATTTCTTCCTCAAACCCTACCCAATTAAAACGAGGCACATATAACAATTTAATTGAAAGACAAAAACAGAATGAAAATTGAAAAGGGGGAAATTAGAATTAGGGTTAGACATACTTGGCTGAGCAGCCCAGCCAATCTCGCCACCCTTGATCTTCTCAGGGAGGGCGTAATTGACGGTGAGGACGCGGCCGTAGAGCTCTGCGCCGTCCATGTTGTCCATGGCGGCGGCGGCGTCTTCCCTCTCGAGGAAGGTGATGAAACCGAATGAACGGTGCTTCTGGGTGGCCTGGTCGAGCGGCGTCTTCACGTCCTTGATGTCACCGAAGGGTATGAACGCCGCGTGCAATATCGACTCGTTCACCTCCTCCGCCAACCCTCCCACGTACACCGTGTTCTTCTGCGACCCTTGCGCCATTGTTAGGGCTTCGCGCTCTGCAACGTTGCAAGTTGCAATTACAACACCAGCGTTTTCTCTTTGCTGTTTGGGCTCGGCTTGGCTAATGGGCTGGCCCAGTAGGCCTCAGTTGTGAGTTTCTCAAGCAATCAACAAAAACTTAATGGGGTGTATTAGATTAGGATTTTAAAAGATTTTTTTGAGATAAATTTTTTTAGAGTAAATATCTTTTTTAGTTTCTGAAAATTTTCACGAAGCACAATTTAGTCCCTCGATATAAAAAAGTCACATTTCAGTGTCTAATTTTTGAAAAAAAAAGACACGTTTATCCTTCTGTTACATGGAATGTGACGGCCCACACGACGAAGGCCAGCTGGAACGTTAAGTGGCTGAGTCACTAACGTCACAGCCACATGGAGAGAAAGCGACGTCGTTCAGATAGATGCCTTGTGTCTATCCCAATGTTTGGACAGGTGACCCTTGCATGAAAGGGTTAGTGACCCAAATTAGTCCCTGTCAAATTAGGAACCCTAAATCAGCCTAAGCCATGAACAAAAAAACCCCAAAAGCTCCCCACGATGAAGATTGAAAAGAGTCTCAAGTAGAAGGTGTTTACTGGCTATTTTCTGGTGCGTAGAAGAAGATGAGTATGTCATCTGGCTTGGGGGGATCAAGTGGAAGTACGTCTTTTGGGTGTAGAACAACCTCACGGACTGACGGTCGAAGGTGCAAATGTGGGAGGCAAACAATCGTCTATACCTCCAAAACAGAGAGAAACCCAAATAGGGCATTCTTTGGGTGCCCTAATTTCAAGGTATACATTTGTAAATTGAGTTTTGATAACTTGGAATATTTGCTTACCGTGGTTTGCAATTTTGGCAGGATAAGAAGCCATTTTGTAATTTTTTTAGATGGGTAGATGATGTATGTAATGAGAGGCTGGAGCTTGAAGATGGAAGAATGAACAAGGTGGAGTTGGATGTTGCTGAAATGGATTTCAAGCTTCAATATGTGGACATGATGATGAGTGACCAATTGCAAGCTAAGTTGAATGACCAAGGTGTGAAGATTAGTGAGCAAGAACTGAGTATCAAGGTGCAGGAAAGAAAGCTGAATGAGCTATACCTGAAGATGGTGGAGGAGTTAGATAGGATGGAGAAGGAAATTAAGCATGTTGGTAGGGCAACTAGGGTCTTAGTTGCTGCTTGTGTAGGGTTTTTGATGATTTTTTTTTATTGCAATTGTTGTAACAATTAAATGTAGTGAACGAAATATTTTTTTTCTTCAATGAAATTTAATGACAATGTAGTTCTATTTTTTGATGATTAAAGTTCACAATATGCCATGATTATATGGCTTTGGATTTCTGTTTTTTGTGCTATAAAATGTGATTTTGTGTATACTGGTAACTTCATGATATACTAAGACTCTATTTCAATAGCAATTGAACTAAGTTATGGAGTAATATAGCCCACATGGCAATCATCATATGAAGTTTATTCCTTTTAACTATTCCACTGTCATGATGGGGCATAAGCATTTTTATCTACATAGTGAGGGTGGACTGATGTTATGTGGTGGTACATGGACATTACAGATAAATGACAGTTGGATGTAGTGAAATATCCAGTCAAATCCTTGTTGCAAATGAGAAATTGAGAAGTGGACATTGGTATCTAATGATGAAAAACTAAACCCAATTTGGTCCCTGACAATTTGTATCGGGGGCCAATTTAGTCCCTGACAAATGCCATCGGGGCCCTATTTGGTCCCTGATAGTTAAAAAATGGACATGAGCTGTTTAGAGCAAAAAGGGTATGCCAGTAACACAAACAATTAAAAGTCTCAGTAGGCATAAGCTGAAGCGAAACATGACCTGCATATGTAGCAAACATGACCTGCATATGTAGCACACAGCAAAAAAACAAACATGACCTGCATATGTAGCAGACAAAATTTGAGAACCGAATTCCCAATGCAGCAAACATGACCTGTAGTGAAATTATAGTAAAAAATTTGACAGTACACAAACATAAACCAGCAAATTCACAATGGTAGCAATGTAACTCAAACCACATATTCAACTTCAAACCAGCAAATACCAACCCATCACATTTAACACCTGCAGTGTAACTCATTGTATCACAAACTTTTTCCTAAAACATATACTAATAATCAAAAAGACTCATACAGAGATTCAAAAAGTGCAATACAGAGACATATTGCAGCAAAGGGAAAAAATGATTTTAAAAAAAGGAACTTGTAGTCATTTACATTCTAAAATTATAGGACTTCCCAAAAGAGAACTATTCTCCTATTGTTTTTTTTGCTTCAAAATACACCCATACAGAGACATATTGTGATTCAAAAAAAAGCAAGTACTTCACCTAAAGGCCTTAAATACAGAATAATAATGGGGGTACAACTGACAGTTAATACAATTCAAAAAATTGGGTACTAAGGGCCATTGTTGCCTATACAACAAAAACTGAACCCCTATACAAAAAACTGATCATCTTCATTCAAGCTGGTCTTGGTGGCCTAAACCCAGGTGTGGCCATGAATGCCATAAGCCTGCTCCTTGTGCCACTGCTTGTTGCATTGACAGTTTCAGTTGACAATTGTTCTGCTGGTGGTGGTGCAGTAGGTGGTGGGTTGTTGCCCCTAATGGCTTCCTCAGCTGCCTGGGACTGCCTTGAAGGTCCTCCTTGACTCAGAGGGATCTCCTCTTCATGTGGAGATGCTATGTTCACATTAACTGCATGTGAAGGTGCTGCTGCTCTCCTCCCTCTCTTGCTTGCAGCTGGTCCCTTTTCAAGAACACATAACCCAACATCCAAATCACTCTCACTAGGCTTCAGCCACAGCATCTGTTTACATCTTTGATAGCCAAACCCCTTGAACAGAGTATCAAGGTCACGCAAGTTGACATAGTTTGCATCCATCTTAGGTAAGTCATCCACTCTCCCATTTACATAAGTGAGCTTTCCTTTGTCATTCATAACCAACACCCCCCCGTGATGATATCTTATGACTATATATTCATCCATCTGCATAGAAAACAGAACATAATCATTTTTTACACTACCTTAATATTAATTTACAATATCATACAACCAATCAATTTTTATCAATATTACTATACAACTGTAACACACTCGGTTATTTTAAATGGTTGCATTGCTAAAAATTTGGGGGGTTTTTTGTAATCACTACACATAGCAACTTAAAATAACAACAGGGGGACCACATGCAACAAGTTCCAAAAATTTTCTACCAAAGGGGACCACATAAAAAAAAAACCCTAACCATCTCTTGCCCTTAACCGCACATGGGGGACCACATTAAGCAAAAACAATATGAACTAAAAGGATAGAGGGACCACAGATAATAAAGAAAAAGTTTCTCTCACGTACCTTGCACGAATGTCACCACAGTCACAACCATTTTAAGGATCTTCACCCTAAACCACACTACTTCCAAAAGCTTGCAACTGCAGAAGCCACGTACAACAACAAAGCACCGTAGGTCACCAACCTTCACCGCAAATGAAGCTCACGAGCTGAGGAAATGGGGGAGGAAATGGTGGGTATGGACAAGTTACTTGTCTGACTGTGTTAACTGAGTCAACAACAAAGGTTCAAGAAGTCTATGCCAAAAACGACGTCGTCCCCTTCTACACACCTGATACAATCTTCCAATGTAAGACGACGTCGTTCCTTTCTCTCCACGTGACTGTGGCGTTAGTGACTCAGCCACTTAACGTTCCAGCTGGCCTCCGTCAAGTGGGCCGTCACATTCCATGTAACAGAAGGACAAACGTGTCCCTTTTTTTCAAAAATCAGACACTGAAATGTGACTTTTTTTTACCGATGGACTAAATTGTACTTCGCGAAAATTTTCAGGGACGAAAAAGGGTATTTACTCAATTTTTTTATAGATTTTAAAAAACTATTCAGAATTGGAGAGACTTTAGAGATTTTTTTAAGAGACTTTTTTTACAATCAAGATTTTGTAAGAATGGATTTTAAAGGATTTTAATGAAATTTATAAGATTTGAAAGGACAATATGGATTTTAAGATTTTTATAAACCATATGAATTCTTAACAAACATTCAAAATTACAAAAGTCAATAAAAAAAGTTAACAAAGAAATGCAGTGATATTAATAAAAAGTAAAACGTAATATAATTTTCTCAATTAGTAAAATTTATCATAAATTTTCGTTTGGAATTTTATGCAATTAATCTTGTAAACCTTGGGGTTTTTTGTTCTACATGATAAGAGTTTTCTAACCATATATCATATGCATGTTTTCATTGAGTATTCCAAGAAAATTTCAAATCTGAATTTCTTGATTTTATTACATGAAAGTTTAAAAAAAAATTCAAATTATTTTCAATCGATACATTAAATTACTTTGGGGGTTTTGAAATACAAATTTTTAGTTATCTATTGACACAAATTGTTTGAAATCGTTTTCTATATAGCGAAAGAAATTTCGTTCATGAATGTATTATTATGAAATATAGAGGTCATATTATGAAAGTTTCAATATTTCTTTAAATCGATCTTGTTTCATTGATATAAAATGAAAATTGGTTTGGGGCTTTTTGTTCCCTTGTTGTTTTCCCACTTTTTTATATTTTTTTAATACAAAAATCACATATTTTCTTACCAAGGAAAATCATGACCAATAGCTTGAAAAGTCATTTTTAAACTTTCAAAATCTGCTAGTTTTGATATTAAAATCTTGTTGGATTGTTATTTCTGGGTTATTTTGTGATGAAAATCGCTCAAAAATCTATTGTTTTTGAGCTTTGACGAAGCTCCCATAACGAAACTCGATTTCTAGCGGGTCAACCCACCAAAGGAAGAAGAAGACACTGCAATCTCAAGAAATTTTAGGGGTTAAGTTGAGATTGTGAGAGAGACATCTTATTTATATTTCTCACTAAAAAGTCTCACGAAATCCATACTAATAAAAAATCCATTAAAATAGTAAGATTTTTGAATATCACATGATTATTTTTCC